ATCATAAATATGTACCTTTTTGTTTTTGAGACAGGGTCTCACTAAGAAATCCTGGTTGACTTTGAACTCACAGTGATCCCCTGCCTCTTCTACCACACTCAGCTCAAGCTGTGTATTTCTGATTTAGGAAAAAAAAAATTCCTCTTTTAATTTTGAGGCTCATGGTAGGAAATGGAGGTTTCAGGGCCCATTGGGCTCAGTGGGCACTGGCTGGCAAGTCTGTTGATGACCTGAATAGAAGGAGGGAACCAACCTGTGTGGCCCACGGATACAGACATGTATGCAAAAGCAAAATGCAGCTCCCACCTAAAGCTGTGGCAGGGGCTGGAGGGCTCAGCGTTTAGGAACCCACTTGGCCTCTCTTGCCAAAGACCTGGTTCTGATCTCACCAGCCACGTTAGTTAGTGTCTTCCTAACTACATGCAGCTCCAGTTCCGTGGGATCCCTCAGGCACCAGCTGTACACGTGAAACACATTCATGCAGACAAGCATGCATACAAATGAAGGTTAAAATGGTTTTAAGTTAGCTGGCCGGTGGTAGCGCACGACTTTGATCCTAGCACTCGGGAGGCAGAGGAAGGCAGGTCTCTGTGAGTTTAATACCAGCCTGGTCTACAAGAACTAATTCCAGGACAGGCTCCAAACCCACAGAGAAACCTATCTTGAAAAAAAAACAATACAAAACCAACAAAACTGGTTTTAAATTAACAAGTAAAATAGCCCCATATGGTAGTATATACCTTTATTATTTTTTTGTTTGTTTGTTTTTTTGGTTTTTGAGGCAGGGTTTTTCTGTATTGCTTTGGAGCTTGTCCTGGAACTCACTCTGTAGACCAGGCTGACCTTGAACTCAGAGACTCACTGCCTCTGCCTCTCGAGTGCTGGGATTAAAGGTGTGTGCCACCAACACTTGGCTTTATTGTTTTTTTTTTTTTAAAGATTTATTTATTACATAGTGTTCTGTCTGCATATATGCCTACCTGCCAGAAGAGGGCACCAGATCTCATTACAGAGCAACCATGTGGTTGCTGGGATTTGAACTCAGGCCCTCTGGAAGAGCAGCCAGTGCTCTTAACTGCTGAGCCATCCCTCCAGCCCTGGAGGCAGAGATGAAATTTCTCTGAGTGGATTTCTGTGAGTTCAAGGCCAACCTGGACTACAGAGTAAGTTCCAGGACAGCCAGGGCTACACAGACAAACCCTGTCTTGGAAAACAACAGGTTTTTAGCAACCTCAGGACCCTGTCTGTGACCCTACACCCTTTGCCTCTCCACCACAGATGGATGTGTATTGCTTCCTGTTCACTGACCTACTCTTGGTGACTAAGGCCGTGAAGAAAGCAGAGAGAACCAAAGTCATCAGGCCACCACTGCTGGTGGACAAGATTGTGTGCCGGGAGCTGCGGGACCCTGGTGAGGAGTTCTGGAACTCTGATCCTGGTCAAGGGGCTGCCACGGGCAGCGGCTCTGATACTAACCTGTGCCTTCTATGACCAGGCTCCTTCCTCCTCATCTACCTGAATGAATTCCACAGTGCTGTGGGGGCATACACATTCCAGGCCAGCAGCCAGGCCTTATGCCGAAGCTGGGTGGACACGATTTACAATGCCCAGGTGAGAATAGAGTGGCAGATACGTGCAGGGAGATGGGGTCTGTTTCTCACGGCTCAGTCTGTGTCTGTACCCACCCAACCTGCAGAACCAGCTGCAGCAGCTGCGTGCCCAGCTGCGGGCCCAGGAGGAGCATCCAGGCAGCCAGCCCCTGCAGAGCCTGGAAGAGGAGGGTGAGGACAGCTGTCCTTCAGCTGCCAGCTCCCCCACCATCCTGCGGAAGAGCAGCGACAGCCTCAACTCTCAGCATGGGTATGCCCCCTCCCCCCCCAGGCTGCCGGGCAAGCTTGGGCCTCGTGCTTATAATCCCAACACTAGAGAACTGAGGCAGGAGGATTACCTCAAGTTCATGCCAGCCTGCACAGCAAAGTGAGACCTTGTCTCAAGAAAGGGAAAAAAAAAAAAAAAAAAAAAAAAAAAGAGAAGGCAGGCAGGTAGACATACAATCTGCGCACCAAGATAAGGTACATGTCTGTAATCCCAGTACTTGAGAGGCGGAGGCAGGAGGATTGCCAAAACTTCGAAGGCAACCTGGTCTTGCAGCGAGCTCTAGGGTTACACAGCCAGACCAGGTCACACACACAGAATGGAAACATTCAGTAGGGTCCTCCCGAACAAGTTACCCCAGCCAGCCCGGGACACAGACAGGGATTGCCCTCTGAACAGTGTCTTGTTGTGAACCCATTGTGAGTCGTGGGAGACAGCTCTGTCTTCTAGAGTCCATTCATGGAGGACAGTTTCCCATGTGATCCATTGCACGTAGCGGCCTGCAGCCTGTAACAGGTGTCCCAGGTCAGGAGAGGGTGCTGATGTCACTGGCTACAGGGACTGGAAGCCCTGGGCCCTGACCCCCTAGTTCTCTGGGCTGCTTTAGGCGTTTTAGGCATCTTCTGGCTGGCTGACACTCCTTCTGACCCCTACAGTGCCTCAGATGGTTCCACGGAGACCCTGGCCATGGTTGTGGTAGAGCCGGGGGAGACACTGTCTTCTCCGGAGTTTGACGGCGGTCCCTTCAGCTCCCAGTCGGACGAGATCTCTCTCAGTGCGGCTGCTTCATCCATTACTCCCACTAGCGAGCTGCTGCCCCTGGGCCCAGTGGACGGCCGCTCTTGCTCCATGGATTCTGCCTACGGCACCCTGTCCCCCACTTCTCTGCAAGACTTTGTGTCCCCACCCCCCGTGGTAGAGCCAGCGCCGGTGCCCCAGCCCCTGGAGTTACCACAGACCCCCTCACCCCCATCGTCACCCCGCCTCCGCCGCCGTGCTCCTGTCCAGCTGCTCCCCCGGCTGCCTCACCTGCTCAAGTCCAAATCTGAGGCTAGCCTCCTACAGCTGCTCTCAGGGACAGCGAGCCACGTGGTGCCCCCAGCTCCTAGCCGCAGCCTGTCAGAACTGTGCCTGATGGCTGTGGCCCCTGGGGTGAGGACTCGGAGCTTCCTTCAGGAGGGTGTGCCTGGCTGGAATTGCGCAGGGGCATGTGGCCCTGGCCTTGGCTCTGAGTTGTCACAACCTGAGAAAAGAGTCAGCCACTCCACTGAGGGACCTACAGATTCTTCCAGAAGGAGAGAAAAGCCTTCAGCGGCTGCTCCCAGCCTGCCGCCGGAGTCTCCCCCAGGAATCTCTGTTCAGCACAGGAAGCTGACCCTGGCCCAGCTCTATCGGATCAGGACCACCCTGCTGCTTAACTCCACGCTCACTGCCTCGTGAGTGGCCCTGCCGGGGGAGGAGCAGATGACTCGGTGTGGGTAGTATGGACGGATGGACGGACGGAGTCTTGGGAGTAGGCAGTAACATGGCCATGACAGCAGGCATTAGCGATTGGGCATGGAGCGTGAGACGGGGCTTCAGGCCTGTCCCAGCGCCGGGTGGGGGTATCTAGCCAGCATCAGTGAAGGGGACAAAGAACCATGGCGGAGAGGAAGGTCCGCTAAAGCCATTTTGTGAACGGCATCAATCACGGATGGATTTTGTCCCCACCCCTTACAGGGAGGTCTGAGCTGAAGGAGGTCCCAAGGGTGCCACCGAGTAAGGGACAGCAGAGAGCGTGCCTCCCGGGGGGTGTGGCACCTGCTTCACTACCCCCTCACCTGGCGTGTGCCCGAGTGCCGGGCCGGATGGCCACCCACCACCCTGTGGCCAATCTGCACTTTGCTGGATGGGATGGAGTGGAGAAGGGCTCCGTTGAGTTCCAGCCCCGGCTGCCACTGCCTGCCACCCCCTTGCCCAGGCAGCCCTTTTCCTCTGCTCTTGACCTGGCCAGCCCTAATCCTCTGGGCTAGGTCCCTAAGCTACCCTCCCCTGCCATCCTCATTTGGACCGGGGCTGGGCTCTGTCAAGCTGCCTATTTATTGACTTTGGCTCTTTTTTATAAAGACTTGTATACCACCCTGGAGAGTGCTGTGCTTCTGAAACCTGTCTGTCCCCTGCTCCTGTACACCGAGCTGCTGGTGGGGGGTAGTGGGCCCCCTCTGGACCAAGACCAAGTTGTCTCCTGCCATAGCCAGAGACAACCATTAATCGGAACCCTCAGGAAATGCTTCTTGTGCCCGCGTTTGCTGAACCCTTCTAGACTCTAGAATCTAGAGAGTATTCCTTCAAACTCAGGGCCCTGTCCATCCCAGAACCCACACCCAGTCAGCTGTTCAGGGAGATGGAGGTCTTCTACCTAGGTTTTCTCACCCCATCCCAAGTCCTTGAGAACCCTCAGAGGAAAGACGCTTGCCCTGGGCCCACCTCTAAGCAATGGTTCTCAGGGCTGGAACTAGACCCAGGGTGGGGTTAGGGATGCAGCCTTGTCCTATACGGGCTTAGTCAAAGCCTATGTCAGCTTCCAGCACCCAAAGTATACCACACCAAGGAAGGTCTCCGGCTGGTAGAGTCACGCCCCCTTAGCGGCAGACCCCACCCTGGCCATTCCCTGAGGCGGGCTTTTCTGGATGGCGCAGGCGGGCAGGCGGGTAGGCCCTGGTCTAGGAACACGGGCTGGGCTAGTGGGGAAGCCCCGGGCGGCACCAGAGTACCGGGGTAACACTCAAACGCGGTGCACACCGCCATGGAGCCACTGCCGCGGAGATGCATGAAGGTGAGTGGGGTCGAGGGAATCCAGGGAACAGCCTGGGACTTGACTTGCAGCCCAGAGCTAAGCCTCTCTGGGGTTGGGGGGTGGGGGTTGCTCTCAACTCCGACCTGCCTGAGGGCTGGGCGCCTCCACCGCCGACCTAGTTAGAGGTTCGGCGCGCCCTTCCGTTGAGAGGAAGCACGCTCTCCCGCTCCGGGGACAGAGGGGTCTGGGGGCCTCCATCTCACAGCAGGCATGAGTGGGGGCAGGGTGGCCCAGTCTCGATGGCTATAGGGGAAATGGGCAAGGGGCCGTCCTCGGCTGTTATGTTCATAAGCTGGGTCTGTAGACGAGAGAAGGAAGCCCCTCCCCCCTCCCCATGGGCACCCCATTCTGCCCAGCAGCCCGTGCAGTGAGTGAGTTGCTTTGAAGGCAAATGATGGAGCCCTGGAATGGGGGAGGAGCCCGGGAGGGAGAGGTAGCCTCCTGGGGCAGCCACACAGGGTCAGCAGCGCCTGTTCCCCAGGCTCTCTTCCTCCTCCTCCTGCTGCTGCTGCTGCTGCCCGGGGCCCAGGGCCAGGGCAGCACTGCTGGCGGGTGTGACTGTGCGGGAGACTCACAGAAGAGGTACCGCCCGTTTTGTTGCAGGGGCTGCCCAAAAGGTAGGTGGCTGGAATGGTGGACCGGTGAAGGGGGGGGTGGGCTGGGGGTGGAGGGGGGGGCTGGGCTGTGGGGGGCAGGGTGAGACAGGCTGGGGATGGGATCCTAGGATCCAGGGAGGCTGGGGTAGCAACCACAGGTGGGGGGAAGTAGAGAGCCAGAGGTGGGAAGGTGGGGTGTGCAGCAGGAAGGGTGGCTTGGCTCTGACCTTATGGTTCCGCAGGACACTACATGAAGAGCTCCTGCACAGAGCCCTGTGGCAATTCTACCTGCCTTCCCTGTCCTCGGGGCACCTTCTTGACTAGGGGAAACCACTTTAAGAGTGACTGCACCCGCTGCCAAGCCTGTGATGAAATGGGTGAGGGCCCGCCCGTCCAGGGCTCAGGTCGCTTGCAGACATTCAGAAAGCTGGCTTGGGCCCTGCCTGCGGGTGCGAGGCCGCTGCCTTGAGTCCACTACGTGTCCACTGTGTACTCAGCTTCAGCATGTCTTTCTCTTCCCCTGTGGCCCTCCTGTTTGCGCATGCCTTGGCCTCTGGTAAACTATGAGCAGCCTGCTTCTTCCACCTGGGAGGCTAGCTAGTACCTCCTTCTCTGGGAGGTGTGTGGAGGTTGGTAGCTCAGACACATCCGTGTTCCCGTATTCCTGCACCGCTGACAGCTTTCCAAGTGACCCTGGAGAACTGCTCAGCAGTTTCAGACACCCGCTGTGGCTGCCTGTCGGGGCTCGGCTGCTCCACTGAGCCGTGTAGGGAAAGTTCACCCTCTCCTTGCCTCTCGTGTTTGGATTGTGCTGCCCCTCCAACCCCCGGTGAGTACCCATCCTGGGCTATCTCTACGCTCAAGCCCCTTCTTTCGGCTCCCTCCCCTTCTGCCCATCGGACGCAAACCATCCCTGGGTCTGCAGGGCCCTGTGAACTTGGCAATGGCTGTGCACCCTGCCCCTCATAGGGGGCTGTGCTGGGCCGGAAGGGAGGCTGGGAGCAGGATGGGGACTTTGGGGACAGATGCTGCTGGTTTAGAGGTGGGAAAAGACGTAGGTAGAGGTCAGCTTGGATCTGTTATGGACAGGGCATTTCAGATAAGGAGAGCGTAAAGGGTACGTAGCCGGGCTTATTTTCACTTTCTGCCTGAGTGTCCCCCAGGTCTTCAACTCCCTGTTTAGGGTGGATTTATCACTTATCGGTCATTCTGACTGACAGAGCTTTGAAGACCACACTGAGACCGGATTTGCTGCTAGTCCTTGGCAAGCTGAGAGCTGTCTGTCTGCCCTCTGAACAGGGGCACTGTGCTGTCCTTCCCAGGCCTGTAGTAAGGAGGAAGGCACCTTATTTACTCATGCACTTGAGTGTCTGCTACCTCCCAGACACTAATTCCAGGCAGACCGAGGCCCCCAGGGTGGAAGCCCCTATCTCCTGCAAGGTAGGGAGGTGTCAGGCACCCGGGGGGGGGTAGCCTTCACTTCAGCCCCTCCTGACTCCCTTTACAGGGGTTTCCACAGAGTCTGCCCTGAAGCCACAGACACAGCCAGCAGCACCCGAGGCTGGAAGTAGAGTAGGTGATGATGCCAGGAACTCTAGTGGGAAGGCCGGGGGAGGGGTGGCTGCTAGCTGGCACTCACCGGATACTGTTCTTTCAGTATTTTGGGTCCAGCTGCTTCTGGGGGCCTCATTCCTGCTCGGGGCCACCCTGATCTGTTCATATTGCCGATGCCAGTCTTTCAAGCCTGTGGTTCCTGGTAAGTCTATACATGTACCGCACACATGTGTTGCCAGAGGCCTGGGGCAAACATAGGTACTCTAGAGCCTCGGACCTGATCAGAAGAGGAAACTGAGGGAAGGCATATGAAGCACTAATGGACTCAGGAGCTACTGGACTAGCAGCGCCCAAGTCCAGGGACCTTGCTGCTGTTGACTGGGCCTCTCTGTCTCTGTCAGCAGACACAGCTGGGATGAAGGCCCTGACCTCACCGCAGGTAATTTTCTCAGGACTGGGAAGCTTCTGGAACTAGGGAGTTACAGTCCCAGGTGCTCAGCATGGTTGCTGCCACAGGTTAGACCTAACAGACAAATGTGCCAAGAGCTATAATTAACAAGACTATCCACAGCACCTGCCCTCGGTGACCGTCCACTGGGATCAGGCAACTGCTCCAGGCCTAACATTGGGAGGGAGGAACACCTCCAAAGGATGGGGGACAGACAGACAGACAAACTTCCAGCAAACACATCAGCCCTTCTGCTGGGCCCAGGGAACAGAGAGAGAGAGAGAGAGAGAGAGAGAGAGAGAGAATACGCACACCCAGAGTGTGTGTGAGTGTGTGTGTGTATGTGTGAGAGAGTGAGTGTGTGTATGTGCGTGAGCACATGTGCCCAGAGCCTAGGAAGGTGATTCTGCTTCCTGAATGAGCCACCCCTAGCCAGAAACTAGCTAAAGGGCCTGTCTGGACACACATGGCTGACTTGATGCTTCACACCTCCCAGATTACCCATCTCTCAGCCTCAGACAGTGCCCACACCCTCCTGGCACCCCAAGGCAGTACTGGGAATGTCTGCACCTCTGTCCAGTTGGTAGGCAACAGCTGGAGCCCTGGTTTATCCCAGACTCAGGAGATGGCCTGCAGCCAGGCTTCACAGCCCTGGAATCAGCTGCCAAGCAGAACTCTTGGTAAGTGATGGAAGTGGCTGAGGCCTGACCTGTCTTTCCAAGTCCAAGGTGGGGCATTGTCGTTTTACACCTGACTGACTTCCTGTACTCACTGGGTGTTATCTGCCCTGCCCCCTGGTGGGAAGCAACCTCACTTCCCTGACCCCACCTCAGGCCTTCCTCTGGCATCTCCACTCTCGACAGTGCCCACTGCAGACTCGCCGGCCGCTATGCTCCAGCCTGGCCCGCAGCTCTATGATGTGATGGATGCGGTGCCAGCACGCCGGTGGAAGGAGTTTGTGCGCACGCTGGGGCTGCGGGAGGCAGAAATTGAGGCTGTGGAAGTGGAGATCTGCCGCTTCCGAGACCAGCAGTATGAGATGCTCAAACGCTGGCGCCAGCAGCAGCCTGCAGGCCTGGGTGCCATCTACGCGGCCCTGGAGCGCATGGGGTTGGAAGGCTGTGCTGAGGACTTGCGCAGCCGCCTGCAGCAAGGCCCGTGATGTGAGGCCCACCAGCCACTTTGGCATTCTAGTGACCCTAGCAGGAATCTTAAGTATTGTTACTTATGGGTGTAGACATTTTATGTCACTTACTAACCCCTTAGCACGGTCCTGCATAGCAGCACCGGCTGGCCTGCTATGCTTCGGCTAAGGGAAGCATCATGGAGAAATAGGAGGGGCCAAGTGATTGGTTGCACAGCTGTTTATCAGCCTGAGTTTGGACTTGGTATTAAATATCTTAAGTAGTTTCCTGGTGTTTTAGTGGGGCCTGGGGATGTTAAGTGGCGCTCTGGTTCCATTTGTTTCTGGGGCTGGGGTCCTGACGCCTGAGGAGCTGGGGCGCACAGTGGAAACCACTGAGTGGCCTTCTTGGCTCCTATACCAACCCTTCGCGCATCTGCATCCGCTACGACCCAGAAGGAGAAAGTCACTAAGACGGCGAGCGAGCGAGTGAGAGTGAATGAGAGCCACAGTTGGCGGATAGAGGTTTAATGGGGGAAGGAAGAGGGTGGGGTGTGGGGGTCAGGAATAGTTGCAGGTACAGGTGCAGGGTCCCTGCCCCTCCACTTACACCACTGGGACAGTGATAGGGTCTGGGGAGTGCGAAGGTCCTGGCTGGGGACTAGCAGGGCTTAATTGGGGTGGGGGAGTTAAGGTGGGCCCCTAGGGAGCGGCAGCTCCACCCCGGCAGGCAAGTTTCATCGTTTCTGGTAAACAAATGACTTGAGAGGAAACCCTCTTCGGGGATGAGAAATGCAGCCTGGTCTTGGCTAGCGCAGATCTGGGTCGAGGAGGGAGGAAAACCCCTTCCCCGAGCTCGGGGTCTGCCTCCACCCAGGATGCGCTGGCAATGTGGGTTCCGGGCTGCGGGGGAGGGGGCTGCAGCCGGGCTTGCGCCCTGCAGGAAAAGTCACCACCCACGGGGCTGGGGAGAGCTCAGCACAAGGTAGACGAACATGCAAATATATGTAAGTGAGCATGCAAATAAGCAGCATCTTTTCTTTTTCTTTTTTTTTCTTTTTCTTTTTTTGCGTCAGCGGCTTGGGCACTTTTTTCCAGGCGACAGCAGCAGTACGCAAGCACTCCGGCAGCAGGGCTGGGGATGTGGGGCCAGGGAGGGGAACAGGGAGGGTTCCGGCACCGAAGACCCGAAGGGAGGGGTGGCAAGGCTCCCAGCCCTTCCACACCAACCTGACAGGATGGGGCGGGGGCGGGGGGACCGGCCCCCATCTCAGAACTTGTGAGGCTACACGCTAGAGCCTGAGACTCCTATTGCTTAGGGATCTCCCCCTTCTTCAGGATGACCTGTCGCTGCCAGGGTGCGAGCTTGGTCTCGTCATAGCCCAGTGTCCGCAGCTTCTCGGACTGTTCCTTCGCCCTCTGTATTTCCTCCTGCTTCTGTCGCTCCTCCTCTTTTCTGTTTACGGATGACAAAACTCAGCGGTGCTTGAGGCCACGTACTGGGACAGGCCAGACACCAGGATAGCAGTGGAGGGAGTTAATGAGGGCAGGACCTTTTCTGCTTAGGAGCAGGTTTTCATGGGGAGGCATATTGGAGTTACAGGGGTACTCAGGGGAGATGGGTAAGTGGAGACTAAAGTTGGATTATTTTGTGGAGGGCTGTTACTGGAAAGAGACGCTGGGTCATTAGGTGGCCCTGTGTGAGGATGAAATGTCACAGAGTTCAGGGGATCAGTGACAGGCAGCCTGACATTGGAGACAGGACTTGAGTTGTTAGGGAGCTGTCAATCTAACTTACCAGGGAATAGTGTTGAGCAGTTGGGGATCTCATTACTGGGGAAGAGGCCCGCAAGCTAGCTAGGGACAGCTTCTCAGAACATAGGGCTAGGGACTGGGGGTATAGCTTCCCAGTAGAGTGCTTGCCTAGAACGCTCAGCTTTGATCCCCAACTCTGGAAAAGCATAAGGGTGGATTTGCTCTGTTGATGGGTCACCGCTAATCATATTTGGTTATGGAGCAATTAAAATGTTCAAATTGGCATGCACACAGTATTTTGAAAACTAAAGTTTTTGTTTGTTTGAGACAAATTTTTCACTGTGCAGCTTTGGAGCCTGTCTGGCCTCCAGATCAGCCTGGCCTCGAACTCAGAGAGATCTGCCTGCCTCTGCCCTGGGCTGGAACTAAAGGCATGTGCCATCATTACCCAGCTGTTTTTTTTTTTAAGGAGAAAAAACTCTCTCTCTCCCTCTCTCCCTCTCTCCCTCTCTCTCTCTATGTGTGTGTGTGTGGGGGGGGATGTTGTTATATTGCAGAATAGCTTCAAACTTGCTTTGTTGACAAGGCTATTTGAACTTTTCCTCCTCCTGCATGCTAGAATTAGAGGCCTGTGCTAACACTTAGGGATTTTGTTGTTACTTTGTTTTCAACTTCATTGAATGTGTACAAGTATTTTGCCTGCATTCATGTCTGTGCCCAAGGAGGCTAAAAAAAGTCATTGGATCCTCCAGAACTGATTGTGAGCTGCCTTGTGGGTGCTGGGAGTTGAACCTGGGTCCTCTGGAAGAGCAACAAGTGTTTTACTACCGAGCCATCTCCCCAGATTTATGCAATACTAGGGCTTCTTTTTTCTTGTGTGCTGGCCAAGCACTCCACCGACTGAGCTATATGCCTAGCTCTCAGTACAAACTAGGTTCGCTCAAATGCTAAAATAATACTTTTCCTACATTAAGTATTAAAATTAAGTTTACTTCTATCTTTTACAAATTTCTCAATTTTAAATTATGTAAGTGTTACACATTGTATCTACCTGGCAGTGCCAGGGTAGGGTTCTGGGTACAGACATTCAGTTGAGGGGAACATGAATGATCAAGTTTGTTGATCTTGTGGTTAAAATAACTGTCCTTGGGGCTGAAGAGATGGCTTCTCAATTAAGATCATGTTCTGCTCTTCCAGAGGACCCAGGTTGTATTCCCAGCACCCATACTGAGTGGCTCATAACTACGTGTAGCTCCAGCTCCAGGGAGCTGACACTTTTGACCTCCATATGTATCTGCACTCAAGAGTACCTTCCCACACACAGACACCAGACATACGTATGATTTTTCTTGTTGTTGTTGGTTTTTCCAGGCAGGGTTTCCTCAGTGTAGCCCTGGCTGTCCTAGAACTCACTCTGTAGACCAGGCTGGCTTCAAACTCACAGAGATCCACCTGGCTCTGCTTCCCGAGTGCTGGTACTAAAGGCATGTGCTGCCACCACCCAGATGACATACACATAATTAAAACAGAAAAATTGGCACTGGAGGATAGCAAGGGTAGGCTTTTGTTTTGAGACAAGGTCACCTGTAGGTCAGGTTGGCCTTGAATTGGCTTTGAAGCCAAGGATAATCTTGAACTCCTAATCCTGCCTATACCTACCAAGCGGGATTATAGGTATGTGTTATCTATCACAGTTGGTGAAAAGCTAGGTTAATGATAGAAGATGGGGGGTGTCTAGGTAACTAAACTTTGAGGGGCAGGTGTTAAATAATTAAGGGTCTTGTGTCTCTATTGGGAACGGAAAGGTTATGGTACAAGGACTCAAGTCATGGTCTGGATGAAGGAGCAGAAGGGACAAGTCTCTGTGAGTGATGTAGGAAGGAGTGACAGGTGTGGGCCAGCACCGTGCTTACCGCTTGTGCTCCCTGGAATGAGAAAGGGACAGTATTAGATGGTGTCACAACCTCAGAGTCAAGACATGTGCCAAGCAGCCTCCTCCAGACACTAACCGCTCCTCTTCTAGCTTCTTCCGAAGAATGTCTCGTCTCCAAGCAGGCAGGCTGGCCAGCCGGGCCTCCTCTTCTTCCTCCTAAAACACAACCACACAGCATCAGGACATGCTTGCCTGAGATTTGCAGGCCAGGGGTATGTACTTCCAACCCAGGGCGAATGGAGAGCTCAGGGACAGCAGAATGTAGATGTGTTTATGAACCTTCTAGGTGGCCTCTTATGGTGAAGTCAGATATGGTGCTTGGTGATGGCCTGCTCCAAAGGGGCCTTCTGCTCCCCAGTGACCCAACCAGTGTCCTAAAGGTGGGGCCAGATAGATCACAGGGAGGTAAAAGGGAAAGACACAGAAAAATAGTTGGGTCCTGAATTCCCACAAAACATGTGGCTAGATGACCCCCAGTCTGTCTTGCAGAATTTCTAGGCAGATACAGACTTGTACCACGCACTGGGTCAGCTCAGGAAGACCCAGGCCACACTGGATCCCCATGAGGACCTGCTGGGCCATGCTCGCTCTCCTCTTAGTGGGAGGGGGGATGTTCCACACCGTGGGGCTATGATGGCATGGGGAGAGGGTTACCAACACAGCCTATACAGAGTGCTTTATTCCTTCGATGTTACAGAATAGAAAGGGTCTGTGCACATCACACACCACACAGAACACTGCACGAGTGGTCAAGGAGGTAGCTGCGAACTCCAGTGAAAAACCAGAGATGGAGAGAGAGAACCACACTGCCCTCCGGAACCCAGAGATCCTTGGCTAGCTTCTGCTGCCTGGCTTCATAGGGGGCAACACCTGACTCGCCCTGTGACTAACCAATCTCACAAAGGCCTCACTTCCTCCCTCCTAGGGACCCCAAAAGTTCCAGAGAAGCGGGGCTTTTGAAAATCTGGTTCTTTCCCGTCTGATTCTGGCCCCTCTAGCTATCAGACTGCATCCAGGCACAAAACTAAACTCTAAATTTGCTGTCAGATGTCGAAGAGTTCTGCCTCCTTCTCCTTCCAAAAGGAGAAGCTCCGGTCAATATAGCGACAGATGTCCTCATTGCTGAATTCGCCCATCTCAGACACCAGCTCCAAGGGCTCTTCCGTTGGGGGCTCTGAACTAGACAGGTCTGAGGTTGGGGGAGGTGCAGCGGGGGGAGGCGGCTGCGGTGCAGGAGCTGGGACCTCTGACTGCCCCTGTGGCAGGCCCTGTGTTTGAACAGGAGCTGATTCTTGAGAGGGCCCCATCTCTCCCTCCTCCTCCTTCTCCTTGTCCTCCTCCTTTCTGTTCTCCTCTTCCTCCAGTTTTTTCTCCCTTTCCCCCTCCCCCTTTTCCTCCTCCTCTTCCTCCTGGTCTTGTTCCTTTTCTTCTGTTTCTTCCTTCTCTTGGGCCTCTACTGGAGCTGGCTCAGACTCAGGGCTGTCTCCGAAGAATTGGCGCCTAAGATCCTCAAAGCCATCGTTCCAGCCACGCGTTCCCGCCTCCACCTCCTCCAGCACCGCGCGGTGGAACTGGCGGATAAGCTCCCACGGGTGGCTGCCCAGACGGTCAAACATCTCATAGCACAACAGGTGGCGGAATTTCCGTTCCTCGCGGCTCAGGCCCATCTCCAGTAGCTGAAAGTAGCCTAACATGAAAAGGTCCAGGGTGAGACTGTCGTAGCTCCGCGTAGCACCATCGTCGAGTGGTGGCAGGAAGTGCTCGGGCCAGTACAGACCCTGTGTCAGCCTCGAGCTGGGTTCCTGGCGCGCCGGCACCCGCCTTAGCAGGCTCCTCCAATGAGCCAGCAGTTTGCCCACCACCCGCCGCTGCTTGAGCAGTTGCAGCAGCCGCTCTTCAGGGCCAGGGTCCTGGTCTGAATCCTCACCAACTGGTTGCTGCTGGGTAGCTTCCTCTGCTTCTGGGAGGGGACCTGCGCCCGAGGCTACCACCCGGGGCAGCAGTTTGCGCAGGCGCGCCTGGGCATGACGCCCAGGTCCTTGGAAGGTCCACTTGCGCCAGTGCTCCAAGAAGAGGTAGACGATGCGCTCCTTGCGCATGTCGATGTAGTCCTGGACGCCAGGCAGCTCGGTAGACAATGGCGGCGTGCTAGCCAGCTGCTCAGGCTCCGGAAAAGCTGCTTCCCGGTGCCACCGCTCCGGGGGATCCAGGGTGTTCAGGGGCTCCTCTGTAGCCCACAGGCCATTGGCGACGGCGACTCTCGGCTCACTGGAACCGATCGCCACGTAGTCCTCCTCAAGGATGGGCTCCCGGTCCGGGGTGCTGGTGGGCTGAGGGAGCTTGCGGAGCAGGCTATGATTGGGCGCTGCGCCCTGAGTGCGCAGTTCGTATGCTGCGCGGAGGTGCTGCACCGAGACACCACATTCGAGGATCTCCTGTGCCACCGCCTCCCGGCACCAGCTGAGCGAATGAGAGCGGCCCAAACAGAGTGGTCCAGGCCTCGAGGGTGCGTCCGGCAGTGGCGCCAGCGGTTGGCCAGTGTCTGCAGCCAGCAGGTCTGCCAGATGTGCCGGCTGGCCGCCCAGCGCGGCCAGCAGCGTGGCCATACTCTTGAGCAGCGTGGAGATCTTGCTGCACCAGGCCGGCAGGTTGGCTGCGTGGCCATGCATGCGGCGTGGGTCTACAGTGAAGCGAGGAGCAGCAGACAGAGCAGCTGAGATCGGTAGCAGCTGCTCCAACTCCAGCTCTAACTGCTCCAGGCGCGCCTCCAGCTTCTTCGCCTTGTGCAGCACCTGCAGGTTCTCAATTTGCTGTTCGATGCGGAGGATGTCGGCCTCGGTCATGAGCTCGCCAAAGGGCCCCAGGATGGCGTTGTGCTCGCGGGAGTACCTCCAGCCTTCCGGGGGATAGCAGCAGGAGCTAGCAGCCGTCAGCTAAGGCGGGGAAGACAAGAGAGGGGAGGGGGCACGTCTCCCTCTGGCCCAGCTCCTGCAGCAGAGCCGGCGACCTTTTGCAAGTCCTAGGTGGTGTAATGGCTCCGCTGGGCTGCGTTTGCAGGGACCGGCCGCCTGGCTGGTGGGGAGATTGCATTGCAGTGAGGCTTCGGATCCCGACTCAGAGCAGTGTTCACACTTTGGTTGCTGGTAGAGGGCTGCGGTGCTGCCTGAGGCAGGGAAGGCAGGCTTGCAGACCGGGTCTCCATTGCCTGGCTTTGTTGCTCATTACACCACCCAGAGAACGTGCGAAAGGTGTTGAAGCTGAGAAACACAGAGGCCCTCCCCTACCCGATCCACAGCCTATTTCCAAGCTACATCGCAGAGCTCCTCTCCTGTCACCAGATCCCAGACCCTTCCTCAGGCTTCCTGGGGTCCAAGTCCACTCTGTGTCAGGGGTCAATGTTCACTAGATGAAAGGACACTTCACCTTTTTTCCCTTCCTCCTACTCCACTCTTAAAGAAGCTAAAGTTACAGTCTCCTACTCCATAAAATGTATGGGCACCCGATCCATCTAGATCCAGTACAGCCCACCTCCCACACAAGTGTGATGAGCCCACTTGCTCCAATTAGCTGGCAGGGCTTCCCGGGCTCTGGGACCTAGTCTCTTCCAGGCAGCTAGCTGAAACTTTGTATCCTGATTCCCACCAGCCAGAGGGCGCACCAAGACACATTCACTTCTGGACCTGCCCATCATCCTGCCTGCTTTCCTCCACATCCTACTCTTTTCCTAATCAACTCTTGTGTGCCTACCACTCACATCCCCGCCCGGCCCACAGCTGGTAACCAGTTGAGTGGCATCTCAGTCCCCTGTGCTCCTGACCACTCAGTGTATTAAAAAGCTCAGTTGTTTGTTACCCCAGGTAGTCACTTTCACATCACCATCTCCTAGTTGACACTCACACCTCCATGGTCACCTTGATACCAAGCTTTGGTATATTCACCGTGAGCCCTCAGAAGACACAATTGTGTGCACCCTACATAGATGGCCCTCAGGGGACACAAATGGTGTCCACCAAATCATCTTACAGATACAGGAACTGAGGCTGAACAAGTCTCAGCAGCAGCGGCTGGAGAGAGGCAATGCCAGCGTAGAGTTCACGTCAGTCTGGACTCAAAGAAAGCCTCTCTTGGCCACGCAGTGTGGTTCACCCAGGAGCTTATTAGAAACCCAGAATCTCAGCCCTTCTCCCCAAAGCAGAATAAGCTCTTTAATGAGGTCCCAAGTGACTTGAAGGTACATAAGAGTCTGGTAAACATTGACAGCTCACTCTGAGGGACAGCTAACCACGGGGAAATTGAGACCAGTATGTGTAGGGTACCTTATATATATTCCTGTTTCTCTCCAAGAGCTTTGCTGGAGGTTGAAGGGTCAAAACAGGTTGGGGGGGGACACAGGGAATATGCTGTAGGCTCAGTGCAGACCCCAAGTCTTTCTCGGAAGCCAGACCCCACCAACCTTCCTCCTCTGCTCCTCCTCCTCCTGCATCTTCTGTTGCAGCTTTCGGACCATCACCTGGCGCTTCCACTCTGGGATGGGCCGGCCCTGCTCATCAAGGGTGGGGATGAGGGCCTCCACATCCAGCTGTACTCCTGGTGCCGGGGTGGCAGGTGGTGCAGGCACTATGCTGCCATTGAGCAATGGCTGAGGCCCAGAGGCTGGTGGGGTGGGGCTCCAGGCCCGAGATGGCGCAGGTGACACCAAGGGCTGCGGTGACTCAGGCTGCCGGGATAAGCGGTAGGGCTGAGCACCAGGCAGGCACTGGGGGCCCGGGCGGGGCACCCGTCCAGTGCCTACCTGGGAGGCTGGCTGCCCACTGCCTGAGAACACGGTGGTCAGCCCCTTGCTCTGCGGGGTCGGCTTCAGGCTCTTGCCTGCCTTTATCTCAGCCAGCAGCTCTGAGTTATCACCCGTTGGGGACATCATGTTGAAAGATTTGGTGCCTGCCCACAGGAGAAGAAGTACTTGGTTGGGGGTAGGTAGCATTCCCATTTCCCTCCTGCCCCGCCCAAACCCCCTTTCCAAACCAGATGGGTAGGGCCCACCTTTGGGCCCAGTGGCAGCTCTCCAGACCCTGGGTCCTCAGATAGCTTTCAGGACACCCAAAGGTGGGTCCATCCATGATGTCCCCACCAAGTCTTACTCACTGGGCATATGGCCCCCACCTGGAGGCCCCTGAGAATTCATAGTGGCTCTTGGGCCAGCCCTGGGTACTCAGCAGATCTCTGCCAACCATCGACTGCCCAGCTCCAAAGCACTACCTGGCTAGCCACCCAACCTTTGTCCCAGGTTTCCTGGCTCAACCCCACTAGGGCGGAGTCTCCCTATGGCACTCTCTCTCCCTTCATCAGCAAAGCCCGGTGACCCTTGGACTGAGCTGACTGGAACCTTCATGGCCATAAGACTCAGGACCCTGGAGTGCCACCCAGCTGGACCCTCCCTGGCCCCACACCCACAGACGGACGGACAGCAGACAACAGGGATTGCAAGCACAGCATACATTTATGGCAAAGCATTGCGTGACCCTGGAGGACCTTGGAGGAGGCGCTTACTAGAGAGAGGGCATGCAGGAAGAAGGGCCAGGCCAATGGCATGCAAATACCTGGATTGAGTTTGCATTTCCAGCAGGGCTGGTGGAGGTGAATGGGTGTTTGGGGGGGGGAGGAGCTGTCTTAGGTGCCCCAGAAGGAGGCAGAAACAAATTGATACTAAAGGCCCTTGGATGCCAGGGTGATGAGCCAGAGCACATCCCAAAGCACCGGAAAGCATCCCTCCTGCTCATTTACTTAAGCAAAACTTCAAGCCAGGCTTTGGATGCTGTGATGCCATAGGTGTTTGGGGTAACAGGTCCTCTCACCTGCTGGCCCCTAGCAAGCCCTTTCCTCAGTCCCAGGCCCTTCCTGCCTTATTCCTGGGAAAGCCACCTCCCCCACCCCACCCCAAGCCTCAGCCTCAGCCTTAGCCGTGAGCCGCAGCTACTCACTCTTCCTGTGCCTCAGGACTCTCACTTCTAGGAACCGAGAGGAGAGACTTGAAGTTAGAGGGAGGGGGGCTGGGTGAGATAGGGACAGCAAGAGGGCCAGGAAGGGCAGGAGGGGAGGGCAGGGGAGGAGCTCCGCTGCCCGTGTGACCCTAGCTCAGGCCACTCTGGGGCCCCACAAGGGTGGTCCATCCAGTCCTCTCCGGTAGGCCATCTTGGCATTGGGGCTGGCTGGGGCAGCCAGAGTTCATTATTTTCCTTTGTCCCTAGCTTAGGCTTCAGAGGAAGGGAAGCTGACTGTCAAGCTGGGGATGGGCCGAGGGCATTCTAGAGATTCAGCCAGGTGTGGGCACGCCACCACAGGCTCCAGAGGAGCTGCTCTCCTAGTCTAGTCACAGAAATAAAGCTTGGGCTGGAACCGCCAAGTATGGTTTCTGCACCGAGCCCTGCCTCACTAGGATGGGAAAACCAGAACCTTCCAGGATTCCTGGCAGAAGGAACAGTGTCCAGCTATCCTGATCTCCAGCTTAACTTCTAAGCAAGGGTGCCAAATCCAGTGGCGGAGAGTATGCCTAGCATGCTTGAGGGGGACCCTGAGTTGTCTTCCGCGATCACCACCACCTTGTACACACAAACCCTGAGGTGATGAGTCGCTGGATCATTGTCTTTGACCCCTCCCCAAATACAGCCCTTCAGTGAGAGTCCTGTCATAGCTAGGAAAGCTCAGGGCTGGGGTTAGCTCGAAGGAACAAGAGTGAGTTTGGGGAGTGCTAGGACTGGAGATGCAGAGTACAGGAAGAAAAGAGCCAGTAGGCTGTTCAGAAACACCAGCCACCAGAGAGAGGCTCTCCCTAGCCAAAAAGGAGAAGGTCCAGGGCGGGCAGAGGCCTTGCCAAAAGCAGCACTCAGCCCAGCTCTGCCGAGGGACCAAAGCAACTCAAAACTCTCTTCCCCTTCTCATCAAAGGGTAGGGTCTAGAAAGAAGAACCTAGACGGAGGAAGCACCAGGCAAGTCTCAGCTGGGGAGGGGGCGGTCTCTAGGCTTCCCTCCCCTTTACAGCTGGCGCCGCCCCCGCCCCTCATCCCGCCCCTACTCACTGCCAGCAGACGAGGACGAACGGCGCTGCCCGCAGCCTGCGCCCGCGCCCTCGACGGGCAGGGGTGGGGCAGGTGGCGGCGAACTCAGGGCCTCAGGCAGCGGAGGAGGCGGCGGCGGCGGCGGCAGCTCCCTGGACGTCTTGGGGTCCGCTGAGCAGCCGTTGTGCACGTGGTTCCCGGGGAGTAGCGCCGCCTGTGGGGGTGCAGAGGGGCCAGCGAGTGAGGAGCGTGCGTCAGGGCCCGGGCCCGGACGGCCCGCGGATGCGGGCTGGTGAGCACGCACCTCCTCGCTGTGGGCCATGCCCGGGCGTGAGGCCAGCGGCTCCCCCGGGCAGCGGCCCAGCTGGCGGTAGTAGTCCCCCGTGCTGGGCTGTTTGCTGAACGAGCGCTGCTTGCGGCCGGAGTCCTGCCTGCGCAGGCCGATGTTGTGCCTGCGCAGCCCCGATTCCTGCCTGAGCCCCGAGTCCTGCTTGCGTAGCCCCGAGTGGCCGTCGCCGGAGCTCGGCTGGAGGAAGACAGTGGCGGATGATGCTCTTAGCCCTGGTGCCCCTCGCGCCTCCCGTCCCACCCTTTGCCTGGGGGTTCGCGGCCAGGGGCCGTCGAGTGGCCCAGCTGGCCGCGTCCCTGGCCCCCCCAATACTCCGTGCAGGATGGGGCAAAGGGCGTGGGGACCTCGGTGAAAGGGCGAAGGCTCAGCCGGCTCACAGGGAGGGGTCTGGGTTAGGGCCAAGGGCACAGGGGGCCCCGACAGAGGCCAGAAGGGGCGGACCCAAGGGCGGGGTGGCCCAGCCTGGACGCCAGGGGGAGCCTGAGTTAGGACAGCTCCCACTTAGCCCTCCCCGAGGGCTCAGCTGCACCCTACTAGCAGCTCCAGCAACCGCACGTGAGCGCTCAAGGCTCCTCGAACCCTTTCTGGAGGGGGTCTCGGCCTGGAGGGGGGCTTGCCTAGAGCTGGTACCCTGGAACGCTTCTGCTTACTCAGGGGGCCCACAGCCTAGGGCTGCTCCTACCTGCGACTGTTCCGGTGGCCCCCGCTGTGCACCTGGCGGCGGGGGCGGCAGGGACCCGACACCTGTGTTACCTGATCCTTCCTCTCAGGTTACAGCCCGGTCCACACGCGGCCCGCCTATGAGCTCAGTCGGCCTGACATCACCCAGGGTCCGCCAATCCCAGGCTTAACCCCCCAGCAGGCGGGGATGTCACGGAGCCCCACTGCTCCGCGCCTGGCCAGGGGCGGCTCCTCCCTCTGCACCCCTCTCCCCGCTAGAGGTCCTGAGCACCCTACCTTCATCCTCCCTGCCCCCAATCATTCGCCAGGACTGAAAGAGGGCCTGACCTCGGGCAGTGAAACTGCTCATTTTTGCCCCCCCCCCCTGCAACCCAGGTCGCGCCCTGGACCTTCCCCTCCCGCATCTGGAACCCATCGCTATCCATGTAAACGACACCACACCCGCGCCCAGGCCTCAAGTTTCAGGGGTGGCCGGGTGGGCTCGGGTGACAAAGCCACTTCTCACTCTGTTGCTCCCCACTAAGGCCTGCACTGGGAGAAAGACAAGAGGTGGGTGTGGCCAAAGGACCAGGTGGGGGCTGTCCCCCCGACCCAGTCCCAAGTTTGTACGTCTAGGCAGTGGCCTCAGACCCTCCGCACCCCCCCCCCGTCCGACCAGGTTCACGTGACAGGAAACACGACACGCCGGATTTGCTTTCTGGGTCAGCCAGCCCCTTCAGCACCCACTACAGCCACAGAGACGCACACCCCTCAACCCAGTTTTATCCGACAGTGTAGGCACCCGCGCCTGAGGGGGCAAGGGACACAAGTGGCACACAAAGGGCCTTTTGTGGAGCCTATTAGCGCCTGCAGTTCTGCACGAACACACTGCGGAGGGGCTCAGGGCCCGCATAATGCTGGCACTCAGGCCCAGGGGTAGGGAGTGGGCATGGCTTGGGGCAAGGCGCATATGCTGCGCCCGGCTGCGAAAGTGGGCTGGCCTCAGCCCCCTACAATCTCTGTCCAGCATTCTTTCATCTCCAGACAATAAAGAACTTCTGGGAAGAGCTTTGTGCACCGGAAGAGAGGTAAAGGTGCTGGCCGAGTCCCTGTGATAGTTGTGCCGCCTCCGCCCTGTGGCCCTGTGACCTGGCTCACCTGTGCAAACTGATCACTTAGCTCCACCCAGGGGTGGCATGCCTTGGGCTGAGGAGTGAACTGCGAGGCCTAGGCCACCTGTGGTCTCCGGCTGTCCCCTCACCTCTCCGTCCAGCAGCCTGGCTTTGGGCCTCCCTGCCATTACATCTATCCCCACACTCCCACTCTCCACCCATAGCCTAAAGACCAGACAGACGCCTTGGGTGTTCTAGCCCCTCGCATTCACACCCCTTCTGAAGGGTTCGCTTCTTCTCACAAGTTCCTCCTCCCACCCACAGGTTATGGACTGGCAGAACCTTCTAGTGTTTGCTCAACTTCCTCCCCCTCACGGTCAACTCAAACTGCTGGAATGACCCACCTGAAAGATGCCTCAAGTGTTGCTCTTTTTTTCTTCTCTCTCTCTCTCTCTCTCTCTCTCTCTCTCTCCTTGTTTGTTTGTTTTGTTTTTCGAAACAGGGTTTCTCTGTATTGCTTTAGAGACTGACCTGGAACTCACTCTGTGGATCAGGCTGACCTCAAACTCCCGAGAGCTGGGATCAAAGGCGTGCGCCACCACCGCCCCCTCCGGTGTCATCCTCTACCCAAGCCCCACACTAAGGCTATACACAATGTCTGTGCTCCACCCCCCCCCCCCGCCCACACCAACTCCATGATAACCCTGCCACTCTGTGCAAGATTCGCCCCAGCCCCTCACTAGCTGTGACTAGGTTCTTTCAGCCTCATCTCCACTCAAGGAACCGTGGTTTTGTCGCCCCTACCCATCCACAGCGTTCAGCCCTCAGCTCTCATGGACCCGGAAAGGATGTTCAATTCTTGAACTTGCCCAGAGCCCAGAAAGCCTCATTTGTGACCACAAGTCAGGCAGGCCAGTTCTTCATTGGCCCAGTAGCCCATCAGCCTAGTCCTGATGCTAGCCCACAGGGCCAGCTGTCTACCTACCTCCTTCTTCAGGGTTTCCAACTCCACGTGCCGAAGCTTGTTCTTGGTCTGCATGTAGATATTAGCTGCTTGTAGCCCTGCAGGAGGATTGGGAGCTGGGTAGTCTGGTGGCGGCGGGGGCAGCTGGGCGCCTGAGGGTGGTGCTGGGGGAGGGAAGCTTGGGGGCGGTGGTGGTGGTACAGGCTTCCCTATCTTGCCCCGAGGTAAGCCCAGCTCTGGGTTCAGCATATCCATGTAGCTCTGTAAGTCTGCAGCTCTTGCACTGGGAGGCCCTGGGGTGAGGCGGGGGACAGGATGTGTAAGTTTGCAAACTGTATCCCAACACTGCAGCTTATCCAGTGGCAAGGCTAACTGGGGTTACTACTTGGTATGGCTTGCTGTGGCCTCCCCAGTAGGCAGGAAGGTGATGCTCTCAAGTTTCAAGGGGTCACTTTAGGGAGTTTTGGGTTCCAGGGTCCTGTGTAGTAGGACCACCTGGCAAGGGCCAGGAAGGGCAGGTGTCTGGATGGCCCCACTCAGCAGCTCTGCAGGCTGCCACCTGGTGGTGGGAAGCAGACACTGCAGGTAGTTGACTGTTGCTCAGGGTGTGGTCGGTGTGTACACACACACACACGCCTGTTTCTGAGGGCTTGTTATGTGTGTATTTAACCCTGTCCCTCTGTGTTGTCCTGTATCTGTGTTGGGCTGGGGGACCTTTGTGAGTTTAGTAGGCAAATGGAGGGGTTCTGTTTGTGTAATTTTAATTTAGGGGTATGCATATTATCTGTGTAAGTTTGTATGTGTGTTTGTGCACCCTATGCACACCTGTCCACATGCACAACTTTGAGCTTGTAGCCTAGAACAGAGAGCAGTGAGTCATGTGTGGGGTACATGGATGTGAGGAAAATATTGGGATGTGGGGAGTGTATGTTGGGATGTACATGCTTGACTGTTCCCCTCACCACATTAAGGCAATGAGTGACATGGACAGGGTGGCCTTGTGCTTTGTCTCGGCTCCTCTCATTCCTCTCCCTAACAGCCCACTCACCTCGACTAGAGCGCTGACCCTTGAAGCTGGACTGGCTGGAAGAGCAGGAGTCATAGTTGGAGAGGGTGCTGGTGGGCGAGCCGAGGTCAAAGTTCAGTGGCTGGACCGACATGGTGGTGTTGGGCGAGGACATGCCCGAGTCAGGTTGCTTTGCCTCCAGGTCAGTGGATGGATCCCGGGACAGGACTCGGTGCTCCACGCTCTGAGGAGAAAGGAGTGGGGATAGCCTCCACACTCCCCAGAACACGGTCCCAGCACAAGTCCTCACTGACAACCTGCCAAGTTACTTTCTTCTCTCTCAGCCATGAGAGGGTCTGCACCTTCTCCCAGTAGGTGTCAATAGCAGACCCTCCCAGCAGTACGAGAAGCTCCCAAGTGGCTCGCCCCCTGCTCAGGAAGACAGACCTGGGAAGGGGGCCTGGCTGCATCTCAAGAGCTTGCAGCCCTCACCAGTCTCTCCGGTCTTATCTGTGGGCAGAGGGCCTGGGCTCCTATGCATCTGTGGGCAGAGGGCCTGGGCTCCTATGCATCTGTGGGCAGAGGGCCTGGGCTCCTATGCATCTGTGGGCAGAGGTCCCAGGGGTGCTACTGCAGGAACAGGAAGGGTATAGGGAGACTCAACCTCTATAGCAACCCCATCTTAACTTGCTTGACAAGCCGGCTCTCTACCTTAGGCCAGTGCACCTCCTGATGTGAGTGGTGGGGGCTGGGCCCTATGTGGCATGCCCCAGCTGAGCTGCCAACCCTTCCCTTTTCCCTCCCACCAGCTGGCCCTCTTAGTCCAGGCCTGCCCCTTTCTGCTGGGAGCAGCTAGGGTGAGGGGCCGACTTACATTGCCCATGCTGTCCCTGCTACCGGCAAGACCGTTCCTTTGCTGCCTCCTACCCAAAGCTATCCTCCCTGCCCCAGGCCCCTCCCTGCCTGGGAAGTGTCACAAGCCCCCTGGGAGAGGGAAGCAGGCTGGCACCAGGTAACGGCTCAGCTGCCACCCTCATTGGCCCTGTAATTAGTGTTTGCCTTTTCTGGGCCAGCTACCTTGGTAGCTTGGATTTGTCACTGCTGCTGCAGGGCCTGCCTGGGTAAGGGAACCAAATCTTGACTCCAAGGGGTCCAGGCCCTGCTGCCTATTCTGAGAAGGAAAGGAGAGATCCAGAAGATAACTTTGGGGAGACAACTGAAGGTACAATTCTTAACTAACATGGGTGGACAACACAGGGAGCCAGCCCTGACCTCTGCAGGCCACGGAAGATAGGAGCTAGGGCACAGGCGCAAAGGCTTCAGCTGGGCGGGTACTTCAGTTCCCGCCCAGCTCACTAGCTGCGGGAGATTATGAGCATATTGTATACACCAATATTTTCTGCGTGTGAGTTTCTTCATCTATAAAGTGGGAATAACCATACTTGCTCTATGGGGGACAAGGGGGACAAAGGTGTTGAAAGCTGGTGACAGGCGTGGTGCCCAGTACGTGCCTGAAGTGTAAAGTACCAACCCCGAGGTAAATCCGTAAAGCGGGGGGCACAGAGTCAGACTTCAGCACTGGTGCATGCCGGGAGCTGCAGCTGCAGCCTGGCAGGCTTGCAGGCATTACAGGGCTCTGCAGCTACCCACTCGCAGCCCCATAGCAGACACTCAGCGGGAAGGAACTCACTCCTGGCCCAGACGAGATCTCACAGGGTCCGCCCGTTTGTATGCCACAGGGTACCCACGACCTGTTTGCTTTCTCTGGGGGGCCCTCTCTGGAAGCTCATCCCCCAACCTGTCAACCGTAATTGACACCTAGGCCCTGCTGTACTGTTCAGATCCCAACCAGGGTCACTGTGGGAAACCAGCAGTCTGCTGCCCCCGCCCCCTGATGATGGGCGGGACACACATAGGCATGTAATTGCTATCACTCATTATGGGGCTTCCATTCCCGGTGCCTCTGTCTCTTCCCTTCCCCCTCACTCCCTTTCCAAATAAACTCCTCATTCAAGCTCCATCTGCCTGGCGTGTTATTCCCTCTGCCTCGGTCACCCTCACCTGCTGTGGAACCTGCTATGCTCTCCCACGTGATCCCTTACCTTGGGACTCTCACCCAGGAACACTCACTCACCCACCCCTTCTCCATCTTTTAGTCTAATAACTGTAACAAAATAAAAACAGTCCCCCCCATGCTAGCAAATAGAGCGGGGGCCATGGGGGGAGAGGGGGGCATGGGCATTCTTTCCTCCAGGCTTCATCTGGAAGCCTTCCTCATGTCTGGGCTAGGCCCTGGAGATAGCATCCCTCTGAGAGGGGCTGTGAGGCCTATTATCTTCCTCCTTTAGTCACTGTACCAGCTGGGGTGGGGTCCGGAACTTAGGGCTGGTCACGCCTGAGCGTGAGTCCTGCTGGGTCATCTCATGGCTTTGCAAGCATATAATAAAATGATTTACAAGAGTCACATCGTTCTTCAGTTATGAATTAACTACGAAGTGAGCTAGTGTGTATGAGTCAAGAGGGTTGGTTTCTGCCAGCTGCTCTGATGAATGGCTGTAATCCTGGCTACTGAGGAGGCCACAAAAAGACAGGTGGAAAGAGGCCTGGGGTGTAGCCTAATGGTAGAACACTTGCCCAGCACGCTCAAGGCCCTAGGTTCAACCCTCGACACCAAAGGAGAAAAGAAAGCCAGGCCACTGGACTCCATCATGGGTGTGTGACATTTAGCCTTATGGAGACTCGGTTTACCCATCTTTGAAATGGGACCACTCCCACACCCTACAAGAGAGGGTCTGTAAGATTTAAATCAGCTAATACATGTGGGTGGGTGGAAAATGAAGTTATCTGAGCCCAGTGGTCCGTGTCTCCTGGCCTCTGCCTTTCCTCATGCCCCGTGACAATGGTTTTGAATTTCAGTCGATGCCAAGCAATGGGCAAGGACTCTAAACTCCTTGTACCACCTCAGGCAAGAAGCTCCATATCCCTGAACCTCAGCTTCCTTCTTGGTGAAAGGGGGTAAGAGACCCGTGGGGTGGTGAGAAGGGATAGCTCCACAGCAGCTACTCCTGGGTCATACCAGGGTTTGCACGGTTCGTAGGTAGCGGGAGCAGTGAGAATGCCCATTGAAGTCAGACAGGTCGGCAGCGGTGTAACCGTCGTGGTCCCGGACATCCAGCCCCGCGCCGTTCACCACGAGGATCTGGCAGCACTGCAAGAAGGAGAGCAGGGGAAGCTGGGTCCCTCCACCGCCCGCACTCCAGAGAGGCTGCGGAGAGAGCGCGCAGCCGCCAGAGGGCGCCCGCGCCCCAGCACCGGCCCCGCCCCGACCACGCCCTCCACCCGCTTTCGACCCCGCCCCTCTCGGGCCGCCCTGACCTCGAGTTCTCCGTTCTCAGCAGCGTCATGCAGCGGGGTCCCGCCCCACAGGTCCTGCGAGATCTCTGCACCGTGCAGCAGGAGCCAGCTGAGCACTTTGGTGTGGCCGCGGCTGGCAGCAAAGTGCATGGCCGTGGCGCCGTCGTGGTCCTGCTCTGACAAGCTCACGTCTGCAAAGCTCACCTGGTGGGGGGGGAGCGGGGAAGAGGGCGGGGCTTGCGCTAGATTCCCCCACCCCACCCCCGCGCCTGACCCCGACCACTCCCAGTGCGGTCGCTCTGTCCCCAGCTCACCAGCCACACCAGGACTGGGTTGTGGCCCATCTGCGCCGCGGCGTGCAGAGGGGTCATGCCGTCTTGGGCGCGCACGTGCGGATCTGCGTTGCACTCCTGCACAAGGTACTTCGTCACCTCCAGGTGGCCCTCCTGGCACGCCAGGTACAGGGGCGTGGCACCGTTGTTGGTCTGGGCATTCACTCCCCTGTGAATAGGCAACACCCACCGTGGGCTCCGGACGCTCACTCCACGCACTCTCGTCGAAGCCTCCTTCCCTAGCCTGGCTCTCTAGAATGGCCTGGAGAGGCTGTGTCATACGTTGTCCCTGAGTTCTCTGGCTCAGTCCTACACTGCTGTCCCTCAGAGTTCTCTCCACTTTACACCTCCTCCCACCCACACAACTTTTCCATACAGTGCCTAAGCCTACCGCCTTTTTGTTTTTTGTTGTTTTCGTTTTTAGACAGGGTCTCTCTATGTGGCCCAGGCTATCCTTCACTATGTAGCCCAGGCTGGCCTCTAACTCTGCTTGCCTCTGACTCTTGAGTGTTGGGATTAAAGGCGTGTGCCACCATGCCCAGCTAAGGTTATTATTACTATCATTATTAGATTTATTTATTTAATTATGAGCACTCTATCTGCATGTACACCTTTATGCCAGTAGAGGGCATCAGATCCCACTATAGATGGTTGTGAGCCACCGTGTGGGTGCTGGGAATTGAACTCAGGACCTCTAGAAAAGCAGCCAGTGCTCTTGGCTGCTAAGCTATCTCTCCAGCCCCTCTAAGATGATTTTAAATTATATTTATTTATTTATTTAACCGATTTTCTTTTTCCCCCTTTCATTTAAGATGACTCTTCTCATGCATTGTATTTACTTTATTCGAATGTGTGTGCATGCATGGCTGGCATGGATGGCCACAAGACAGTCAGAGGACAGCTTTTGGGGGTCAGTTAGTTCAGCCACATCGTTCCTGGGGATGGAACTTAGGTGATCTGGCTTAGCTGCAAACATAGCAAGCACCTTGAACATCTCACAAGCCTTAGATGCACCTCTTAACCAGTGTCTGTAAGGACATGGTTGCCCGGTTTCTCCTACCTTTTCAGCCGCAGTAGCGGCTTGACCCCACACTTGCTGTCAGAACCCTGAGCTTTCTCAGGTGCATCCCCATTCAGAATGCTGACTCTTCTTCCTTAAGAACACACCCTGCCTCCCCGAAGCCGGTCCTTTCTCTCCATTCCCTCGGCTGGCTCCGCCTACCTCCGGCCAGTTCCTCTCCACGGCCTGGCATGCTTGCTTAGCTACAGTTGCTACTAGCCTGGGCCTCCTCCAGTAACTGATTTGCTAAAAGGCAGGGCTGGAGGTTCCCAGATAAAATGCAGCATTGCCCAGTTAAACCTGAACTTCAAATGGACATCAAATGATATTCTAGCGTGTGCCAAGTACTGCATTCTGGGTTTCACTGTGAAGGATGTCTTAATTATGTGTATGTATCTGTGTGTGGGTTCATGGACACGAATAGAGGTGCCTGCAGAAGCTAGAGGTGAAGACTCCCACAGGACTGGAATTGCAGGTGCTTTGGGAACACTAACTTGGGTCCTTTGCAAGAGTAGCAAGCCCTCTTATCTGCCGAGCTAGCTTCCCAACTCCCTGAGTTTCGGCACTCATCTGGTAGCCTTATGTACCTGGGAGCGTGGTACTAACAGAGAGGCCTTTATCTTTAATTAATTAATTAATTTTTAGGTTTTTTTTTTCTTTGAAGCAGGGTTTCTCAGTGTAGCCCTGGCTGTCCTGAAACTTGCTCTGTACACCAGGCTGGCCTCAGACTCTGAGATCCTCCTGTCTGCTTCCCGAGTGCTGTGGTTAAAGGAGTGTGCCAGTATGCTTGGATCTTTTTTAATGTTTTAAAAAGATGATTTTATGTGAATGAATGTTTTGCTTAGATTTATGTGTGTGTCCAAAGAGGGCATCAGATTCTCTGAAACTGGTGTTGTAGGTGGTTGTGAGCCTCCATGTGGGTGCTGGGAATAAAATTTGGGTCCTCTGGAAAGGCAGCCAGTGCTCCTAACCCCTGAGCCACCTCTCCAGTTCAGACAAGTGTTCCTTAAGTCCTGTTGTTATTCCCGCCTTGCAGAAGGTTAACTGGGCTAGGGCATTCTTGCCATATGTCACACAGCTGGTAAATGTGATAGGGTCACACATCTATTTGCGAGATGAGGTGCCTGTGGGACGTGACCTCAATAGACACATAGAACAGGTGGGACCCACGTCCCGGTGGTTTCCCTTATGGTTAGCTTTTGATTATTACCACCCCTCATTCTTGCTTCCCAGCCCAGGAGTTTCCTAACTGGGTCACAGGTGGAAGGGATACAACTAAAAAGTATTGAAGCCCGCCACGAGGTGGATAATGGGTTTGGGCTGCCCGGCATGCAGTTACCAGGAATGAACACTGGGTGGAGCTACAAGCTACTCCAGACCTATCACCTGCCCGCCCATTCAAGTCCACAAACTCAAACTGGACGGGTTTATCCTGTTACTCTCCAGTCTTTGCGTTCCCACCCAAATTACTCTTCCTAGCTAAACATCCACAGTATATCAATCAGACCCATGAAGCCACCTGCTCATTCGTCCAATGACCTGCGTGGTCCTCTTCCTCTAGAAAGATTCGCCCATGCACCAGCCCCCTCTGTTACTGCAGCATAATTTAGGTCCCTACTCCTACCCGGACCATCGTGTCTTGTCCTCCTTACCCACAACTCTCCCAGCATCCCTGACCCTAGAGTCCCTCGGCTCAAGTCGTAATCGTCCCCCACTTCGTTCCCATCCCTGTCTCTTCTGACCCCTTGTGCGGACATCCTGTCCTGCCCCAATGCAAAACTGCCACCTGTTGGTCTGATGTTGAATCTGGCTCTTTAGATGTCGGGGGGGGGGGGGGGGAAATGGGTGTCGCAAATTGGGGGCTGGAGATGTAGCTCAGTATTACAGTACCGATATAGCATGTGGGATGGGTTACATTCTCAGCAACACACACACATTCATACACATATATACACATGTACACACGTGTACACACGTGTATGCAAGCACATATGCATATGCACACACTTGCACACACATACACTCACACAATACACACTTGTACACACACATACACACATGTATGCATGCACACATGCACATGCACACACTTGCACACACGTACACTTACACATGAACGCACACACGCATACACACATGCACACACATGCTTATGTACACATGCACACACATACATGAAGAGTATCTTGGCACTCTCCTATCATCCCGGCACTTGGAAGGCTGAGACAGGGGGATTACTGAGAATCTGGACTACATAGAAAAAATTTCAAAAGCACGTCCTGCCTACACAGTACAGGGTGGGCAAAAGACCCAACCTTTGGCCACACACCTCCCTGTAGATCCCTGCTGGCTCATGGCCCCAGCCAGCAATCCCAGTGCCAGCATCGCCCCCACACTCTGTGTGTCAGGAACAGCCTGCTAAATATTTCATGACCGACACTCAGTGGCTTGAATTATTCACCCAGTAACCAAGCACAGTGAGTGCTGGGGTCCTGGGGAGTAGAAGCCACCACCAGGGTGACCCCTAGGGCAAGGCAGTTTACACGACCAAGAAAGCCAGAGACATTGTGAGCTTTGCTTGTCTAGCACCTTCTGGTTGGCGGGTAGCCAACCACCATCCAGGGGTATCCGGCCCCCTAGGAGGACTGGGCAGCAGGGGGCAGTGATGCCCACATCCTCTAGCAGTCAAATAGTAAGGTGCCCAGTATATTATTATAGCGTGTCAGCCTCTATTGAGGAGCAGGAGGCCCAGGGCACGGGACAAGTCTGTTGATGGGCCATGAGAAGGGGGCAGCCAGCTGTCTTCTTGTTTGGCGGCATGGAGGCACGAGGAAGTCCAGGCTCCCTCAAACTTAGGCCACAAAGCTATGGGTAAGCACAAGGGACAAAGCATAATGCCTGACACTGGATGAATAAACGGACAGTAACAGTAAAGGAGAAGGAGTCCAGGTGTAATGGCGCACGCCTTTAGTCCCGGCACTCCAGAGGCAGAGGCAGAGGCAGGAGGATCTCTGTGAGTTTGTGGTCAGCCTGGTCTAACAGAGTGAGTTCTAGGCTAGCCAGAGCTACATAGAGAGACCCTTCCTTTCTTAATTAGAAAAAGAACGATTACTGACTGATAACAGCTACTTTTAATCGTGTGGTTACTCACTCCAGGTGGAGCCATCAGCCAGTTTCACGCCCTCTCCCATCCGACCCTTGTTATGGCCTTAGGGATGAATGTTAGCACTGTCTCCTTTCTCAAACGAGGAAGCCGAGGAAGCCGAGGCAGAGAGGGCTAAGATCATTTGATACATACAAAATAGACAAGGCTGTGATGTGAACCTGTGTTCAACCAAAAGAGGGAGAGAGGAAGAGAGAGAGAGAGAGGAGAGAGAGAGAGAGTGTGCAGCCATGCTATGTCCACACCTTTCTTGTCTGTCTGTCTGTCTGTCTCCCTCTGTACCCAGACCTATACCCGTCTCTCAGGAATCCTTTGCCAGTGGGCTCAGGTGTGCATGGGCTTGGGGACCAGACACGAGCTGAGGAGGACCTGGTGTAAACCCCACCTCCCTCAAGCTGGGTCACAATGCCCCTTCTTGTCTGAACTCTCAAGCCTATGCTGGGACGTCTGTCTCTTCTATGCCTGGAAGACTGAGCTGGGAACAGGGTCCTGCCAAGCTGGTGAAGTGGAGAGTGTCCTCTGGAGGGAGGGAGGCCTCTCAGCATCCCCAGGCCCAGGCTCGGTCTTAGACCATTGTTCAGCTGATACCCACCGGTCTTCTTGACCCACACCTGACAGGCTGAGCACGGCTCCCAGGGGCGCCTCCCCAGAACCTGCCCCTTCGCCGACTGTTCCTTTGGACACAGAACAGGCGCCTGGAACTCTGCATGTTCTCTTCCCACCCCCATTCAGTCGAGTTGGTAGAGGACAACCTCTCCCTCTGTCTGTCTTGAGACAGAGTTTGGTGCAGTCCTGGCTGACCTAGAACTCACTATGTAGCCAAGGGTGGTCCTGAGCTTTCGATCCTCCTGCTTCTACCTCTGAGTTCGGGGATCACAGGCCTGCACCGCCACTCAGTTTATAGGATGCTGGGGTTGGAAGCCCAAGGCTTCCTGCATGCTAGGCAAGCACTCTACCACTGAGCCTCAATAACCCATACCCTTGTTTATGTGCGCGCACGCACATGTTCATGTTCGTGTATGTGTGTGTATATTCATGTGTGTGCGTGTGTATGTATGTGTGTGTATTCGTGTGTGCACGTGTGTGCGCGCACGTGTGCATACACATGTGTGTGCACATGCGTGCGTCTGTGCATGTGTGTGCAGGTGTGTGTGTATTCGTGTGTTTGTATGTGTATGTGTGTGTATGTGTGTGTGTTCGTGTGTGTACATGCATGTGTGCATGCGTGCGTGTGTTTGTGTGTGTGCAGGCATGTGCGTGTGTGTTCATGTGTGTTTGTGTATGTTCGTGTGTTTGTGTGTGTGTGTGTGTGTGTGCGCGCACATGCATATGTGCACACACAAGGTATTTGTCAATCCCATCTCCTGTTTACGCCAAGAGCTTGGCCCTGGGGGGGGGAGGGGAGAAATCACAGCTTTATTTGAGGAAAGTCTGCCAGGGTGACTGCATTTACAGTCTCCTAGGGGACACCACCAGGTCAGGTCCTGAGAGGAAGACCCACCCTGCATGTGGGCAGTGACCCCATGGGGTGGCGCCTGGACTATTGGGAGGGGGGGCCCACTGAACACCCACTCAGCTCTCTGCTTCCTGACTGTGGACTCAGTGTCACCTCAGTCAGGTTCCCACTGCCTTGCTACCCCACCTCCTGCCCGGTAATGGACTAGCTCTCTCCTCTTAAACTGAGTCGAAACGAATCCTTCGCTCAGCGGCTTTTGTCCAGCATTTTGTCACAGAGACAGAAACTGCGCACCAGTGACATTTCCAGCACATGCTTGCATCTCTCTCAACTTCCGCCTTTCTCTCAACTCATCTTGCTGTGTCCCGGCCATGGCCACGTGCTCACAGCAGAGCTTTGTGTAAGTGCACCATCGGAGAGGCCTTTCCTGGCACCCCAGCTTAAAGGACCCCCTGAGGACTCCCTACCAGACAGCCCCATTTTACTACACAGCACCTGCCACCCTTGTAGTCTCTTGTTCTTACGTTTGGCCCGTTCTGTGAACGCACATTCCCATGCTGCGTGTTCCCCCGGGACAGACAGCCTGCGAACCAGTACACCCGAGAGGAGAAGAGCGTTCCCCTAAATTGGGGGGTGGGGGCTGCTCACAACCTGTCCCCTTCTTTGTCTGCTGTGAGCTTCTCCCAGACGGGCAGAACTGTGTCCCCGGTGCTGGTGAGCTGGGCAAGGAGTTCAGCCGCATTTGTGCAGTGGATGAGTGTGGGTAAGTGAGAAGAGGCAGCAGGCCTGGGGCTCTGTGCCCACCATGGTCTCAGCCTCTCGGGTAGAGTGGGTCCATTTGTCAAATGGGCACAGGGAGGTGCAGAGAGGGGGTTCTATCTAGAGTCACAGGCAGTAACCAGCCGCCAGGCATGGACCCGGGATTCCAGACTCCTCATCAATCAACAAACAAAGGCCCACGGCGTGGCAGACACTGGGCACACAGAGTGAGAGAGATAAAGCCTGTAGCTTCATCACTCATGGAGTTCAACAGTAAGAAAACACACAGAGACATATACAAGGCTATGTCCACAGCTGATAAGGGCCCAGGAGCCTGAGAGGGAGACCCCGGAGCCCTGTCTCCTCTCCCAGTCTCAAAGCTCAGGGTCAGGGTTGAGCCCAGGACTCTCTTCCGGCAGCCTAGGCCCCAGAGCAACCCAAGGCAGACACAGAAGGAAAAGGCTTTTGAAATGGGGACTCCTGGACTCAAGAACCCTGTTAAGAGCCAACTGGGCGGTGGTGGCACACACCATTAATCCCAGCACTTGGGAGGCAGAGGCAGGCAGACCTCTGTGAGTTCGAGGCTAGCCTTTTCTACAAAGCAAGTTTTAGGGCAGCTAGAGCTGTTACACAGAGAAACCCTGTCTCAAAAACAAACAAACGCTTAGAAGCAAAGAGGTCTGCCAGTTTGTTGATCCTTTTCTGCTGTCCCAAATGGGGATGCTGACACCCTAGCCACCGTGAGTTACTTCTGTGCCAGGACTGTCAGCCCACCTGTCTCCAGGACTCCCAAATTAGGGGTCCCTTAGAGGACAGCTCCCCTCCCCCTGCCCAGAGTGGGAGGAAGGTGTTGTGTGGCAAGTTCTTTTTCTGGAAAGATTCAATCCAGTGAGCTGGGGTAGATGCACTGAGAAACAGGATGAGCACCGAGTGTTCCTGTGACCTCAAGCCCTTTGCAGTGCCCCAGGGCACAGACCTGCACTAGCAGGGCGCTTCCCAAAGCTGCCAGCCCTCCAGCTCCTCTGCACTTGTCAGCACCATGGCCCATGGTTACCCACAGCCTCCCTGGGCAGGATCGAGTTTCCCACGGATGGCACTCTCTCTCCTGCACCAAAGCACCAGAGAGAGCCGAGCCCTTGAATAATTCACAATGCTTCACAGCAGGCCCGGAAGGCTCAAGAGAGCATGAAGCCCCAGCTGCAGAGCCAGGCTGTGGGGTCCTCTGACTGGCCCTGGAGAATCTCTCCCCCAAGGCCAGAGTTTACACGGGCACACCAGCCCCTGACCACAGTTTCTAGTCCCTTCCTGCCTGAGAACAGCCTGGCATCCATTCAAAGGTGACTTCTTATCAACCTGGTCACAGACCATGGCAGGGATCGGAGCCCAGGCCCTCTGTCTACCTCCCTGAGATTCATGGTGAATCCCGGGCGGTCTGGGCAGCTCCTCAGTGAGGTCAGCTGGCATAGAGTCTGCCCCTGGAGGGCTCTAGGCTTGTCACCAGTGGGCTTTTCACTAAGGCGTGTTAAGGGGCTAGCGGTTCTCCCTGGAACCCACAGAGCAGGCTTGGAGTCTTGTCTGTTTATAGGGCTCCCACCAACTCTAGGCACACTCTGTCTGAAGGAGAGGCTGGCAGGGGCAGGAGAGGGTCTGTACTACATAACCTATCATCTTAGGAACCCAAGTGTCCTGGGCTTAGCGTGAGGGAGTGTGGCAGGACATCAGAACCACAGTCTTGGGGCTGAGGACATACCACAGGTATGGATGGCCAGGCCCTAATCTGAAGGGTCTAACAGAAATCTGGGCCAAAGCTTCCTAAGGCTGCTGATGGTGGCAGATCAGACCCCACACTCCCCACACTCAAAGGTCTCTGGGGCCACCAACTTGAATATGACATCCAGCCCTGCCAGTCTGAATGCAAAGCCTTCATGCCTCAGTGACCACCAAATGGCTATGCAGAACAGCCACCCCAGTCAGCAAAGTTCCTGCTGGCTCACCCACCCAATGCCAGACAGGGAAACTCTTGCCAGAAGCCAAACAGGCTCAGCCTGCCTGTCCAGAGCCAAGGAGATACAACGGATGCCCGGCCTTCTAGGTCTGAGAGCTGTCCTATGTCCACACCAGTGTCTGCCCTATGCCATGTGACCACACTGGCCACCAGCCCGCTCCCCGGTGGACAGTGGCCATGTGACGAACTCAGAAATGGATTGGTGATGGGTCTAACCCTGTCAGCTTGCAGATGTCTTCCTCCCGAGGCTGAGCACACATACTTAGACACGGATCAGAACCCTCAGGTCCTGGTGGTGGCCGCTCACATCCTACACCTTTAGGAAGAATCCATGTCCTTTCCTTGAGCCATTGTCCTCACCCCAGGACACATAAGACATGGCTGTCTCCCACCTCCAGACTCTCACCTGTCACTCTGTGGTGAGTCTTTCTCCTACATGACCCCATCCTGTCCTAGCCACTTAAGAGTGAGGTCCTGGGAAGGTTAGGAGCCCCTCCACCAGTGACAGGAATGGATTGAGAGGCCCCAGGACTGGAAGATTCTCTGGAGGTAGCCTGCTCATGGCTCTGGGGCTAGGAGGGATCATGGGACTAAAGGACAACTCTCCTCTTACCTGCTTGACCCTCGCCCTGACCCTTCCTCCCCTGCCTAACTCAGGTCTAGGAGGAGCTCCTGACTCATCACTCTATTTAAGTAGTCTCAGAAGTGAGCTCAGACGAGAGCTTCAGGCCACCTCTTGCAGCCAAGCAAGCACCCCGGGAGGAAGAATGACCTTGGCCTGCATTCCCAATGTACCAAATCCAACTCTAAGCTGCCCAGGGAGCTGGGGTGGGGGACATCTGCTTGCAGACCTGAAACAGAGGCTGTGGCCCCGACGGGCTGTGTAGAAAGCAAAAGTTCCACTTTGACAGGCCCTGTCTTGGGCCCGGCCTCTGAACTCAGGATGGTCTCTGAAGCTGCCACCAGCAGTAGCAGCCTCCAGATATACACCAGAGCCTTGGCCTCTGTACCCAGAGAACTCCTTAAGAGAAAAGTCTTAAAGTCACCTGTGGCAGTTACAGGCCTGGAATCCCAGCCCTTGGGAGGTGGGCCACAGAAAGACCAACAACCCTTAGGCTGTGGATGGCAGTCACTCAGGAGGCAGAGGCAAGCAGATCTCTGTGAGTTTGAGGCCAGCTTGGTCTACAGAGTGAGTTCCAGGCCAACCAAAGACCCGTCTCAAGAAAGAAAAAGAGTAAAAAATACAGATCAGGAAACCAAGGCTCAAATCCTCTCTACTTAGCAAGCTCCAGGCCAGCCTGAGCTACATAAGAGCCTGTTCCAAAAAATAAACCAAGAGGGAAGTCCTGGCCTGGAAGTGTGGTTCCGTGGTGGACTTCTTGCATGTGCAAGGCCCAGATTCAATTCCCAGCACAAAAATCAAAACAGTAATGCAAGGGAAGGCTCTTACTCTGGGTAATGCCCGACAAGAAGCTTCGTCGACGGAAGGTCTCCTTTGGCGGCGGCATAGTGGATAGGCAGGGCACCCGTGTCTGTGGTGATGGCAGAGTTCGCACCACCGTCATGCAGAAGCCAGTTCACCAACTCCGGATGGCCAAAGCGGGCAGCCAGATGCAGGACTGTGGCACCAGAATTATCTTTTTCCTGTGGGAGTTAAAACGCTGTAGTCTGAATCTATTCTTGCCAGGTACCCAACCCTCTGCCGGCCTCCTCCAAGAGGGGCGCAGGTCCATGTGCTTACCCCCGCTTGAGGGGATGGCTGCGCCTGGCTTAGCACTTTGGGGGTGAAATCGATCCTGCCCTTAGGCAACTCCGGCCTGGCTTTGACTCTCTGGCCAGAGGCGGCGGCAACACCATGTGGGACTCTTTGAGGCCTTTAAGGCATGATGGAGAGTTGCCAGGACACAAGAGGCACCCTGTGTCCTAGCAAGAGTTAGGCACAGCCCTGACGCCTGGGTAACACATGAGTTAGTGACTGCATTGCTGGGCTAAGCAAGGCAGGGAGGGGCATGCAGCTGCGTCTCTCTCCCAGGCTGGCATTAGGGTTCCCCTGCCTCCAACCCTCGTTCCTCCTCGTCCTCACTCCCAGGTAACCCTGGGAGGGACAGAGCCTTCCATCTTGCTACACCTCCAACAGCCCAACCCCCACACAAGAAGCTGCACACAGCTCCAGGAACAAGCTGTGTTCTTGCCCTGTGGAGGAGGAGGCACTGGTGGGCAGGGCCTGGGGCAGCCAGCCAATGGTGTGGGTGTGTACTAGTGGCAGGCCCTTGGAGAGGCTAGAACTCCTGCAGATACCCTGTGGGCCCAGAACTGCTCCTCTTACATATACTTGTTGTATCTCTCTTTGGGGGAAGAGCTGAGGGGCTGTTCGCGGGTGGGGAGAGAGCCATGGAGACCCCAGATGTCCCCATTGGGGCTACTGCACCTGAGAGTATGTCTAGCGGCTGACAAGCTGTAAGCATTAAGCACACAGATGCCACAGAAAGCAGAGGTGAGAGATAACTGGGATGTGAGGTCTCTCCCCTCCTGAAGGGACTGTACCACCCAGACATGAGTGACCAAGGCACAGAGACCTCGAGGCAGCTGAATGGCAACAGGAAGACCCAGGGCCCCTGAAAGAAGGGGACACAGGAGACTGGCTTGTCATCAGTCAGGCTGAGCAGGTGGGGAGGATCATGGGACAGAAATCAAATGGCCCATAAGGGTCTAAGGAAGATGCCAGAGTTCCCTCTGCGCATTGTAGGTGTCTGCAGGCTTGTTTAGTCTGTTCCTCTGAGCTCAGGCATGGCTGGCTGGAGGTGATCTAAGTAGGACCACAATGATGGAAGTCTGGTACGTCAGCTCTTGAGACAGGCCTTCCCTCTCCACTGGTCGTAGGGCTATGGACCTGAGGCTGTGGGCCATAACTGTAGTTCGGGGTTATTGGATCACGATGGCAATATGAAGTCAGTGGCCTGTGTTTAAGGTACCATCAGCTGGTAGGCCTTTGTGTGCTGGGGCCCACATGCTAAGCTGTTTATCTGTAGGCGGGATAGGACCAGAGATGGAGGTCACTGCCCCCACCCTTCTGCCCCCAGCTTCCTGGGGGTTTAGGACAGGAGACATGATAAACTGGCACAAGGTTGCGTGTTCCTTCTACCTCTGCGATAAGGGAGGCTTCCGGCCAGCGCTGGACGTGGAATCAGGGAGGCTGGCGCTTCCCAAAAAAGGGAGGTACGGACTATGTGGCTGGGAACTCCCGATAACAAGGCTGGGAGATAAGGGAAGGAAAGAAGCTTCCAGAAGGATGGGAAGGTGGAGCTTTTTCTTGGAAGACGGGAGGTGGGACTGAGCTGCATTTGCTAGGCCCCTGCACACCAGGCTGGAGTTGGCTCTCACCCCTTTGGTGTGCAGTTAACCTAGTGGTCTATGGGGTTTTTGTTTTTTGGTTGGTTGGTTTTGGTTTTTTGAGACAGGGTCTCACTCTGTAGCCCAGGCTGACTTCAAACTCACAGGGGTCCTCCTGCCTCAGCTTCCCAAGAGCTGTGATTACAGATGTGAGTCACTCAGTGGTCTCTGCCAGCTAGAGATCAGCTGTTCCCACCTTACTTGGCTGCTCAGGCAACCAGAATGTCATACCGATTCCTTCCCTCAGCCTAGGAGACCCCCTGGATCCGGCCTGGTGGCCTCCCATCCCAGCTATCACTCTGGTTCCTTTAGCCTTCCTCTAGCACAAGAATGTGGACACCTCAGGGCATTTCAGTTCGTGTTCTCGGTGCGGAGGACTCCGTGATCCACTCTCCCCTGGCAGGGCCTCAAAGTGACCCCGTGGTTATTCCAGGGACAAAGATTCAGGTCCGGCTGAGGAGTGGCTTTGGGTTGGAAGGCCCAAAGTTGCCGATATCCTTGGATCCACCTATGTCCTTGGAAGAGCTGCCCCACCCACCTCAGCCCCCACCACTTTTGTCCCTGACTTGGTGGCATCTTGGCCTAGGGTGAGTTGTGGGACCTTGGGCATGCTCCCTCCAGACCCGAGCCCGGAGGACACTGGCTTCTAATTTGGCAGCCCAGGCCCATCACTGCCTGCCCCACCTTTCTCCAAGCCTGGGCCACTCCCTTGAGGATCTGTGCTTTGCCTGCCCTAGGAGACACCAACTCCACTGAGTCCAGTTCCCCGCGGGTTTCCCTGATATCAAGCAGCCAGGAATCTGCCGAAGTTCTCAATCTCAGGAGCCCACCTTATCTAAAGCGGGCTGGAAAGAGAAGTCTGAAGGGCTTAGCCTAGCCAAGACCACTTATATTTCACTCATTCTCAAGCCACAGGAGGGCTGGAGTCCTCTTTGGGCCCAAACCTGATCTTGGAGTAGACTCACCTGCACTCTGCAACCACCCTGTGTGAGCAGCCACTGCAAGCAGGAGAGGTAGCCTGTGGCAGCGGCGTCGTGGGCCGGTGTGGCGCCGTTGCGCGCGCGGGCCACGGCCGGGAGGGCAGCCTCCTCCACCAGGTAGCGTAGACAGTGAAGTTTGCCAGATCGGGCTGCATGGTGTACTGGCAGGGCATCTAGCGGGTCGCGCAGAGAAGGCTCCAGCAGGCCGGCGGCGTGCAGGGACTTCAGGACGTTCAGGTCGCCCCGCCGTGCCGCCTGCAGCGCCTGCTCCAGGGCCATGATGCCAGCCCTCGGCGCCGCGACCCGGCGATCAGTGGGTTCCCCGGGACGTCATGCGGGTGGCTTCAAGCTCCAGGAATAGCCCCCGCGGCGCAGCCGTCGGAGGAGTGTGAACCCCAGAGGGAGAGCGGTTGCCCGCCGCCCCGGCTCTGCGGTCCCTCGGCAGCGCTCTGGGGCGGGGACCCCGAGAGTGCCCCGCTTAAGCCTGGGACCCGCCCCCGCCACGCCTCCTCCCTGCCCCGCCTCCCCGGCCCAGAGCCTTCCCCTGTCCCTGGCGGATGACAAGGGTTGGTGAGTTTCTCTTCTGATTTGCCGCACATAAAAACTGAGTAGGATTCTAGTACCGTCCAGGCAGAGATCCGTTCATTTAGCTGCCCAGTGGCCACTATGTGCTGTGTCAGGTGCTAGGGACACAAGCCAGCAACCGATGGCAGTTACGAGGATCTCCAAGTGTTGCTAGAACCTGGCAAGTGGGAGATAGGAAATGGTTTGTCTTGGGCATCAGGAAGGTGCCTGGTGCTGGGTCTGGTTGGTAAGAAGGGACATTCAAGGACAGGGAACTAGACACCGCTGCCCAGAAACTTCAAAGGTCCCATCACGTGCTGAATGCCTAGTGTCCCGTGCTCAGGATGCCAAGGTCCCTCTAGAGTCTAGACCCAAGAAAAAGAAGTGGGGGGGGGTGGGAAAAGGCGAAGGAGAAAGGAGGGAGCCCGCAAAAGGAGCGGCGCAGGTGCTTTCTGACAACGAGTTCCATCCCAGGGACCCAAATGTGGAAGGAAAGACAGAACCGACTCACACAAAGTTTCTTCTGATCCCCACATGCACACATTAGCGCAGGGCCTCCAAATAAATAAATAAATAAATAAATAAATAAATAAATAAATAAAGTGCTTGAACAAAAAACCCTCCAAAACCCATAGGATCTATTCCTCCCTCCCTCTCCCCCTCTCTCCTCTCTCTCTTTCTCACCCTCCCTCTCTCTCTCTCTCTCACAACACTCTCTTTCTGTCTTGTTTTTCAAGTAAAGGTTTCTCTGTGTAGCTAGCAGTCCTGGCTGTCCTGGAACTCGCTTTGTAGACCAGGCTGGCCTCACTGAGCTCTGCCCGCCTCTGCCTCCCAAGTGCTGGGATTAAAAGCATGCGCCACCACCGCCCAGCCAGGATCTATTTAAGTGAAAGGATGCTCAAGAGTGTCGAGGTGGTTTTAGAACTGTTTCAGAACAGGGCGCTGAAGATTCTAATTCCCCAGGCTGGTGGGGGATGGGAGAGCGGAGCATGCATGGACTCGAAGGCCTGGAGCTGTCAAACCAAAGGACCAGAAATGAAGGATGTGAGAGATGAGGCCTGATGGGCAGACACTCCAGTGCCTTTGTCCAAAGAGACAGCGTCACCACGTGAACAAGGACACTGGGAAGCGCCTGAGGGTCCAGGCAGGTAAGTACAAACCACCCCACGGGGCCACGGCTGGAAACAGGTCATGGGAACTGGAGGAGGCAAGGTCTGCTGGACTGGAGCTAAAGCTCCCAGGATGGGGTGTGCGTGCCGTGGGAGCGCAGCAAGCATATCGGGCAACCTTGAAACAGCTTGTGCTCTACCTCTTCTTCCCCCACGCACAGCGAAGGTCAGTCAGAACTCAGCCCCATTCCCGGCCGATGTTTCAATCAGTGCCTAACTCCTATCAGCCAGGGAGGTGCTGGAAATGTAGTCGTTTGCAGAACAGTTGGTCTCCTGGACAGTCTTAGCTACCATTTCTGTTTCCACCACACGGTGGCGCCACGCACGGTGGCTGGAGCTCCCAGGTGAGCTCAAACTTTGATGACAGCTCAAGTGAGTTTCTAACCACTTCCACCTAGCTGGTGAGGCCTCGTTCCATCATAGGACCTGCAGGTACTGGAATCTGTGACCTCTTTCCAGAGGTTTCCGAATTCCTTATTTGTGTCACAGCTATGCCCGCTTGGTATTTCTTGAAGCTACATACATCAGCAAATCCAGGCCGGCGGGAGCCCTCACAGGACAGTAAGTGGTGATAGGAGCATTCAAACTATGATGACTGGACTTGACTTCCACTCTCCTGTGCCTCCTTCGTGACAAAACTCCTGCAGTTCCTCCAGGCTGCAAGGTTGCTGCCTTGACCCTGGACACCTCGCATGGTGAGGTCATGCATTGTTCCTGTCAAATCCTCCTGAGTCATTCCCAACTCAGCCAGTGACACTCGACATAAAGCCAGGTGTCAGTACACATCCTCGATGACCAACTAGCTCCTCAGATTCCTTGAGGACACAGCTCACACTCAGACTGGGAGCCAGGCCCTTTCAGCTGTGCCTGCCTGCCTGCCTGTCCATCTGGGCTCTTCCACTCCACTGAACCCTCCCCAGCAGTTAAAAAAGCCCAATCAGTGATGACATAAAGATAGAACCCCCTACTACTCACTGGGCATGGCGCCAACCTCTCCATTCAAATTGTTAATCCTTATAGGTGGGGTTTTTTGTTTTGTTCTGTTTTTGTTTCAGAGGCTGGCTTTGAACTGTCTATCCATCCCAAGCTGGACTTGAACTCCTGAGTCTCATCTTCTCTTTATGATGCAGGGTTATGGGCATGAGCCACCGCAAGTGGCTCAGAGGGGATTCAAGTCTTGTTTTATAGCTGTGGAAACAGAGGCAGGAGGAGTTTGTATTTATTAGTGCCTGTGTGTGTGTCTGTGTGTGTGCGTGTGCATGTGAGCACGTGTGTGCTGGCCTCAATGCATGTGGAATGCATGTGGTGGTCAAAAGACAACTGGCAGGATTTGGTCTTGTGCGTGTGCCCTGGGGATCAAGTGGGGTCACCGGGTTAGTGGCTGGTGCCTTTACCCATTGAGGCATTTCATAGGCTTTGTTTTTTTAAAGCCTCAGGTGATACAGACAGGAAGTGGCAAATCTGTCCAACTGAGCTTCCTCTCTCTGCTTCTCAGGCTGGATCCCCTCTCCCCACAGCTCCCCTCTGTCTCCTTGCCTCTGGGCGCCAGCATAGGGGCTTCCTCCTCTGAAAGTCTCTTCTCATCCCTCTGCGGGGGGCTCACCTTAGCCCTCACCTCCAAGCAGGGTGAACATCAGTTCTCAGATTTCTCTCCCAGCCAAAGACCAGCACATTTCTCAACACCCCAGGTAGGATCAGGGGTAGAGTGCATCCCCAGGGTACTGTAGGCTGTCCTAGTGAGCCTGAGCCCCACTCTCTGAACACCCCAAGTTCTACTTCTAAAGGACCCCACCTTCCAAACCACTAGCAAACCCCCAGAGTCTTTTCTGTGGAGGGAGGAGTGCATTGCTTGGTTAAACTCCTTTACAGTGGGGGAGAGACACTTCAAGTTTCAGTAACTGAAAGGGAATTTGTCCTCAGCCCTGGAAAGGGATGTTCCCACCCTTCACCCTAGGAGCTAGTATCAGTATGGTCAGTGTAGGGTGGGTTTGGGGACACTGAATTGAATCAACCCTCAGGGAAGGGGATGCCACACTGTCATTTTTTTTTGTTGTTGTTGTTTTAAAGATTTTATTTATTATGTATACAACATTCTTCATCCATGTATGTCGAGGGCACCAGATCTCATTACAGATGGTTGTGAGCCATCATGTGGTTTCTGGGAATTGAACTCAGGACCCCTGGAAGAGCAGCCAGTGCTCTTAACCTCTGAGCCATCTCTACAGCCCCATACTGTCCTTTTTTTATTTTACATTTTGATATTCTGAGACAGGGTTTCTCTGTGTAACCCTGGCTGTCCTGGGGCTCACTCTGTAGACAAGGCTGGCCTCAGGTTAGGAGATCAGCCTGCCTCTGCATCCCAAGTACTGGGACTAAAGGTATGAGCTACCACTGCCCTGCCACAAACCCTTTTTCAAAAAGAAGCTTTACTTTTATTTTCAACTCTATCTATCTATATCTACATATAGATGCATGGATTTATATGTAGATTTATGCATGTAAGGGCTATGTCTGAGAAGTCCAGAAGAGGGCGTCAGATTCCCCCCTCCTCCGAATTGGAGTTACAGGTAGTAAGTTGTGAGCCATCTGTCCTGGGTGCTGGAACCAAACTTGGGTCCTCTGTAAGAGCAGTGCTCATAAACACTGAGCCCTATAAAGTACTAAAGTCCTTTTAGATCTCCATTTCTTCTCTCTCTCTCTCTCTCTCTGTCTCTCTCTCTGTCTCTCTCTCTCTGTCTCTCTCTCTGTCTCTCTCTCCTGTTTTCAAGACAGTTTTTCTCTGTTGTAGCCCTGGCTGTTCTGGGGCTCACTCTGTATATCAGGCTGGCCTCGAACTCAGATTCAGAGATTCACCTGCCACCACTGCTTGGCCCTCTTTGAGCTCTTAAAGAATAATTAATGAGTGTGGTGGCACACACACTTGGGAGGCAGAGGCAGGCTGATCTTTGTGAGTTGGAAGTCAGCCTGGTCTGCATAGTGAGGGGCTGGCCCATAGGCATTTTAGACCGGACTGTGGGAGAGAACCAGAGACTCAGGCATCCCAATTAGGACTGTTGGGTTGGTGTAAGTGAGGAAATGATTGGAAACAAGGAGCTAGGAGCTTGCACAAAGTTACTCTTTGGTGGTGGTCATGGGTCCTTGTATACCATAGAAATGGGAGGGATGAGCTTTCCGCCCAGGCTTTCTTTTTTTTCTCCCTACTGTGGGAGCTCTTCCAGGGATTTGGGGCTAGGGAAGGGAATGGGGCTCAAAGGGGTCCTTCCAGTACCCTGGACAGAGCCCATCCTGGCTCCGCCCCACGAGCTCCTGGCTTTTGGTGCCTGAGACTGCCAAAGTTGGAAGAGGGTCGGAGAGGCGGACGTCACCCCGCCAGCCAACCCAGGGAGGGGAGCCCGCGGCAGATGGGCGGGGGACGCCTGCCAGTTTGCCGCAGCAACGGCCACGCGTTGTGGAGGCGTGTCTGGCCTCGCTGGGGCGGAGTGGAGCAGCCGGGGCACACGCCCAGGGCCGTCCCCACTCGCCTGTCATGTGACCTCCGAGTGTCCCACAGGTGGAATCTGGAACCCAGAGCCAGATGAGTTGAAAATGAACTCCGAGGACCCTGGGTTGCCTCTTCCTGGGGAGTGGGGCTCAGGTTTCCTTTTCACAACCTAGAGCCGGGGAACCAGGTGGGGTGCCCTAAATTCTAGGAAGTGTTTAGAGCCTGGGGTCCAGCGACCCCAGTCCTGGTTCTGGCAGCCAGGCCGGAGAAAGGTTGGACCGTGCTAGGACTGCGTCTCCACGTCCAGCTCGGGGCAGTTGGTGGAGCGAATCTCTCTTTTTAACCCTTGTTGGGTCTCCCTGAGCTCTGGGGCTCCGAGGCTCTGCAGTCGCTGGGGCCCTTGCTGCCCAGGGAGGAGCTAGAAGCCCGGTGGGCGTGAATGAAGCCGCAGGAGTCAAGGCCTGGCCCCACCCATCCTTCCTGTCCAGGGGGCCAGCGCCCGCACGTCGCGCGACCCCACCACAGATGGGACTCTGAGGCCAGAGTGACATCTCTGGGGGATAACACTGACTCGTCCTCTCCAGCCCCACCCTGTGCTGGGACAAAGGCGGGAGGTGGGAGTGGCGACGGGCCAGGCTCCGTGGGGCGGGGCGGAGCGGGGACGCAGCCTCCTTAAAAGCCTGCGGCTGGCTGGGCGCGCTCTTCTTTGGCGGGAGTTTGGGCTAGGCTTTGAACTTGGTCCCTGGCTTCGTTCTTTGCTCTGCTTTGTAGCGGGATCCTCCACCCCGAGGCACCCGACCCCGCGCGCTCTTCGCTTTCCCTTGGAGCATGAGAGTGCCTAGAACAGCAGGGGACGCAGCGGAGCTGCGCAAGGTAGGGACGGAAATAGGGACCCGTGGCAGCGTGGGGTGGGAGATCGCGATCTCCTAACCATGGCCTCTGTGCCCATCTGCCTTCCCGCACCTCCCCGCAGACCCTGAAGCCACTGCTGGAGAAGCGCCGGCGCGCACGAATCAACGAGAGTCTGAGCCAGCTAAAGGGGCTGGTATTGCCGATGCTGGGCGCGGAGGTGAGTGTCTGGGAGAGGAAGACCTCGGTGGAGAGTTCTGGGACACCCAGTGGGGCGGGTGGGGCGGCGTGGTCTCGAGGCTCAGTGGGGATCCGAAAGCCTCCTAGTGAGGTCTGAGCGATGGAGTGGTAGAGACCACCGCGCGACTGGCAAGCATCTTGGGTGCAAGAGCCAGGTGCCCAGTGGCTCAGTTTGTTATAGGGTGTCTCTCTTGCCTGGCCTGGCACAGACTTCCCGCTACTCGAAACTGGAGAAGGCGGACATCCTGGAAATGACCGTGCGCTTCCTGCAGGAGCAGCCCTACCACGCTGCAGCGCCGGGTGAGTGACCATGCTCCCCGCTCCTCGCGTGCCTGGCAGTTTGCACAGTGCTCAGGGCCTGAGCCTCATGCAGCCCTCTGTCCACAGAGCCCTTGGATAGCTACCTCGAGGGTTACAGAGCCTGTCTAGCGCGCCTCGCGCGCGTGCTGCCGGCCTGCAGCGTCCTGGAGCCGGCCGTGAGCATGCGCCTGCTGGAGCATCTAAGGCAGAGGACTGTCAGTGGTGGCTCAACCTTACAGACACCAACACCGGCCCCAACACCGGCCCCAGCTCCATCTCCCTCTCCCCCTCCGCAGGTGCCTCATCTGGGCAGCCCTGGCCTCTGGCGGCCCTGGTAGGCTCCTGGATGTTCCAGGCCAGGGACCTGGATGGGCTAGCTGACTAAGGAAGCTCTCAGTGGTGACTGCATCTCCCTCACTTTGAGAACAATCTAGCACCCACACCCTAGCAAGAATTCGATGCTTGTGACCTATCTGGATGATGACCTCAAGGGCTGGAGGGAAAAAGAGTTTCTGGGTAAGAGGAGAAAGAGCAAATGTCTGCAGGGTGAGGAAGAGCCCCAGATTTGGACTGGTAGAAACGCTTCTGGCACTGGGCCACCAAAGCTGCCTCAGCAGGGACACACCTGCCCTGGCGTGGGCAGCAGACCAACCTCCGATCTTGGAGCTCACCTGCTCTGATGGGTCATCGAATGCATTCCCAGCCACACCTGGGAATACCTCCAGCTCAGCTGGGCTTGTGAACCTCTCTGCAAACAGAGCAATGCCTTGGGGGACTTTGACCACTCCCCCCTACCAGGTTCTGCAGAGCTCTGAGCAGGGCAAAAGGACACCTCCTCCACTCCTAGGCTTCCCCTGCCAGTGATCTCTACTGCAGATGGTGGGGGCTTCCTAATTTAAGCCTCCGAGCATTCCTTCCCCACTCGCCAGGCCCAGTGGTCTTCAGACGTAAGGAAAGGATGGGATGAGTGTGAGGCTTCCCTGGGAGGGGGGAGGGGGGTTTATGGAGGCTGGCGGTGTTGGAGGAATGGAACCCAGAACAGACTACAGAGCTCCAGCCTTGGGAGGGCAGGGACCAGGAGGCAGCAGCAGTTAGGGAACAGGGACCACCCTGCCTGCTTTCTTTGTTAAACCACTCCCTGAGCCCAGGCAGTTGGGCTGCTGGAAGCAACTAGTTCAGAAGTTGTTTCTCCCAAACGGAAGCCTATGATGACTCAGGGAAGGGCCTTCAGGTCCCAGAAGTGCAGCACAGAAAGTAGGAGAATTTGTGAACCATGGTCCCCCCCCCCCCGAGTCCATGGGGGTTTGCGGAACACTGCAGTAAGGTCTGTGCTAGGGACCTGGACACTAAAGCCAAGGAGACAGACTGTCCAGGGAAGGGACAGTCACTGATCTGCCCTGCCATTCATCCGTGATGAATCTGGGTACTGATTTGGGTGGCAGGAGGTGAGGAAGATAGAGGCCTTCTCTTCTCCTCCTCCTCCTCCTTTTTGATAGCCATTCTTAAAAAAGAAGATCAATGAGAAGACAGCGGGGCTCCCACAAGGCTGTGCTGGACCTAGACTGATTCTGGGGGTGGGGTGGGGCTGGGTGGGGTGCATCAGTGTGTCCCCGAGGCACTCACACCCAATGGTATTCAATAAACATGGGTTGACGGGTCTGATGTGACTGGCTCGCATGGTGATAAAGCTTGGGCAGCCTGGCTTTTGCTTTGACAACTACTCCAAGTTCCCATCAGCGGTTCTCAGCCTTCCTAGTGCCGCGGCCCTTTAATACAGTTCCTCATGCTGTGGTGATGCCCGCCCCCAGCCATGGAATTGTTTTCATGGCCATTGCCGCTCCATAGCTGTAATTTTGCTACTGTTTGTAGCGTAAATATGTGTTTTCCCACGGTTTTAGGTAACCCCCGTGAAAGGGTCATTCAACCCCCAAAAAAGTTGTGACCCACAGGTTGAGAACTGCTGTTCTAGAGTCCCACCAGGGCTCAGGGTCGCTTGTTTTCTTGTTCTTAGTGAACAGGGGTGGAGGCAGAGGAATAGCAGCCCTGGCTCAATCTCCAATAGTCTCTGGGCTTCTCCTCCGATCTAGACGGATGCACGTAGAAGAAAGTGGTTTACACATGCGTTCCTGGCCACCTTTCCCTGTGGTGTGAGACCCTGTCGCAAAAATCCAAAAATGAGAGCAGCAGCAGGAAACAAAACAAGATTCCTCAAAACAAAACAAAAGCCCTCAACACAAGCAAGCAAGGTGGTATATACCTACAATCCAACCCTGGGAGGAAAGAAGAGAGAGTATCCATAGCCAGGGCTAGCATAGCATGACCCACCTCAAAAAACAAAACAAAAAGCTCTCAAGATTGGTATTTTACATTATCGAGACTCACAGTTTCCCACCTGCCTCTGCTTCCTGAGGATTAAAGGCGTGCGCCACCACACCTGGTCCTCCACACAGGTTTAAATTCTATGGGAATTGATGGGCCGGAGGCCTCCGGGTAGCTGTACCCCCCCCCCCCCCGACTTCCTGCTTCTGAATGACTATCTTGGTTTCTAGTTCCATGATGTGTATTGACCTGGCATTGAGTGATTAGGTAAGTAGCTGTGGAGTGGTGTGTGTGGATAAACTGGTGATTCATAGGGTCAGATGCTCTGCAGAACGGGGCCCTGGCATGCCCAGGTGGGTGAGGTTCTCTGCCTGAGGCAAGAAGCCAGTTTCTCAATGGGATGTGCTGGAAGACCTGGAGGTTCTAGGCTGGTGTTCCCAGCTGGGCTGGCGAAACAGGGTTACCTGCATCCTCCTTCAGAAGCCGCTGTGAGCACCTCTTCCTGGCAGCTCCTCCGCTGCCAGGACCTGTCTGTGATGGTCCAAGATGAGCAGGGCAGTGGCTTGCTTGTTCTGTGTTCAACAGGGGCTGCTCCAGAGAGACATTTGCGTGTGGGTGTGAGCCCACGTGGAGGTGGAGGGTCACTCCTCAGGTGCCTTTACCTTTTGTGTGAGATAAGGTCTCTTATCGGAACTTTTCCAAATAGGCTGGACTAGCAAGCTGCCGGGGACCCACCTCTCTCTTCCATCTGGCTGTGATGATTGAATGAAGTACCTCTATGGATCCCGGCCAGGCAGACATTTTACAACCCTAAACAAGTCCATAACTGACCATGAGCTTTCCAGATGTCTGTTCTGAGGTGGCTGCATGTTGAATCTGACTGAACGTGGAGCCAACTGGAGAAAAGGTCTCTATTGTCTCTCATAACTCCAGGGGCAGAGACGACTATGACTCAAGGATGCCAGGGAGCGGAGCTGCCTGGGAACCCATTGCTGTGGAGACTCAGGCCTCGGACAGGGCCCCACCTGCCCCTCTGGCACCAGGTAGTGAGAAGAGGTGGTGTGTGCCTTCCTTAAGCATGAGGGCAAAGGGCTGTTTGCTGCAGACGAAGCCTCTCCCTCGGTGTCCCCATCGCTCTGCCCCTCCTGTGAACTGAGGTGGGGGAGATCCCGTTGGTCCGCTTGGGACTAGCAGAATGGACATAACTGTCAGGAAACCCCTTGAAGAATCTGTGGCCCTGTAGCGTTCCGCTAAGCCCTCTATATGCTGGGTCATGGGGTCTCCCCTGTGGAGTTGAGGAATCTTCGAGTGTGTGTTTGTGCACGCGCTCCAGCCTGCACGTGTGCATCTGTGCCAGTCTCTGGCCATGGCAGAGCAGGGAGGGCAATGAAGGGCAATGGGCTTGCAAGGGAGGCTGTTGAGGTGAGACCCAGTACCCAGACAGCCCTACAGAGCCAGGTTTGGCCACTTATCCTCAGGCCAAATAAAGGACAACCAGCTCATTAAGGCTTTTGCACAAGACTGGTGACCTGAGTACATGTAAAGGTGGACAGAGAGAAGCAACTCCACAGTTGCCCTCTGACCTCCACATGCAGGCATGGCCACCTGCACCCTCCACATGATAATAACGACCACAACAACAATATTAAAAGACAAATAGTTGTTGGGCGGCACACACCTTAAATCCCAGCACTTGGGAGGCAGAGGCAGGAGGATCTCTGTGACTTTGGGGCCAGCCTGGTCTACAAATCGAGTTCCAGGACAGCCAGAGCTACACAGAGAGATGAGAGAGAGAGACAGAGAGAGAGAGAGAGAGAGAGAGAGAGAGAGAGAGAGAGAGGACATCCCGAGAGAGGACATCCCGAGAGAGGACATCCCGAGAGAGGACATCCCGAGAGAGGACATCCCAGGAGAAGCAAAGCAATCCAGTAACTTCCAGTAGTTCGTCTTCCAGTCTTAACACAAGGGGAGGGTGTAAACTGAAGACAGGTGTGTGAGCTAAGCAGACCTGGTCAGGCTGTGGACCCACTCCGCCAGCCCCTGTCTCTTAGGCAAGGTGATCTGGGGTTGTAAGAACTGTGTGGAATTGTCTGGCCGGCACCAGGCTTCAGCCTTTTCTGTCTTCCTGGAGAAATTCTAATTCACTGAGGTTTGTTCAAAAGCTGGAGAGCCAAAGGGAGAGGCGCCGGTGTCCAGTTTTTCTGCCCCGGGGTTAAGGTCTCAGGCAGGTTGGTTGGGGTGGCCTTATTCTCCTCATGGGGGCTCTGGAAGCTTTGCCCAAGAACACAATTAAACATCTACGCCATCCTGACTCCGATTAGTTTTAACCTTTTGCATATTTTCTTTCCAGAGTATGTCAGATGGTCTGAATGTTGCAAAGGACAGTTAAGCCGGCCGGTGGCCTTATTTCCCCAAGCCTTAATTCCTATGTGGGCTGCCCACATGTGTGGCCCTCTCGGCCTGCACATCTTTGGGTTGTACCCGCCTCTCCGAGAGCTGCCCGGGCATGCGATATCCTAGAGAAGGCAGTCACCCACCGAGGCTTCCCAGCGAGTACCTAGTTTCACTTGTGGTTTTCAGAGGCTCGGGCAAAGTCTCGAGCAGTTAAAGCAGCTCCAATAACGCATGAATAATGATTTTAGGAGCGTGAGAAATGCCCTGGGGGACACACCCTACACACAGGGAGGCTTGTTAGGGAACATCCACTAGGGGGCAGCAAGGAGCAGAGGCCTGTGAATTGTCACAGGACCAGGGTGCAGGAATCTGGTGTTTTCTGGCACAGGGGTAAGGAGGGCGGAGGAAGAAGACTCATGCTGAGCATGTAGCTGCTGCTGCTAAAGTAGAGGGTTTGCCCAGAATGGGGTGCTGGAGTTACAGGTGGAGGGGTTATGAGCTGCCTAACGTGGATGCTGGGAACTGTTCTTAACTACTGAACAAGCCCACTCCTTGTGTTATAAATGGATATTTTATCCGTGCACGATTGGGCAACACCCCTCATTGATGATCTAGAAAACACTATTGCAGGGCTCTCCCCATGTTACTGTCCCTTTATACAGTATCACCACAGGACAGGAGGCTGCCCCAACCGCCCTGCACTCGAGAGGGATTAAGAAAGGTAAGGGCAAACCATGGTGGTGGTCAAACCATTTCTCGGGGTCTGAGAAATAGTCTTGGTACTTCTAGGATCCAAAGGAATTTGGAATTGCTTAAATGTGGACAACACAAAGCCATTAAAAAAAAATACAGAATCCATCAGCTGAGAGATGGCTCAGCAGCTAAGAGCACTTGTTGCCTTTCCAGAGGACCCCAGTTTGGTTCCCAGCACCCCCATTAGGGGGCTCAAAACAGCCTGTAACTCCAGATCC